GTCGCGGTCCGTGCTCCTACGGGGCACAAAGAAGGATCTTCAAGGGACGACGTCTCATTGCTGTCCTCATTACTTTCACATCCAATCGCGCCCAACACTATTTTGTCGTTACCGGTTTGTTTCCACATCACCAAGAAGACCAACCTTCGAAGCATTTGGAGGCAGGGATTAATTCCAGGAGGTCTTGGAGAAGGTCATCGGATGTTCACGTTCTTCAACCCGTATGTGCCATGGGATCACAGATCATGGACCATCACGAAGAGCGTTGATACGCGAAGAGGGGACTACATTTGCTTGTTCGTCCCGACCGAGACCTTGATGGTGGAATATGGCGGTCGACTGACTGACTCGGGACAGATCGTCTCACCAAAGATCATCCCGTTCTCGGCAATCAAAGGAGGATGGATTCAGGACCCAAAGGACCAAAACAATAAGACATGGCTCCGGTTGTTCGTCCCGTCGGGCGACGACCAGGTAGTCCGGTCTGGAACTATCAAATCAAGAACGGTAGCCACCAAGGAGTCCATCTTGAGGGTTGCAAGTCAGTGCATCGACGCCGAAGATCAACCGTTTGACGAAACCGCCATGGATGCCATGAACATCGTCAACCAATTCATCAAGAACAACCTCATCGAGCCTGGCGGACAAGAGCAATACCTGGCCCGCATCAAGCTGATTGACTACATAGTCGAACGCAAAAGGGTGCAAACATCAGGTTGCCGCCATTGTCCTCACTGTCTCAATGAGACGCCGACAAAACTAGCAGTGTGTCTAGTTTGCTGGACGGAACTGGAAAGTTGTGGAATCCGTCCCTATCGGCTACAAGCTCCTGAAGACGATGAAGATGAGGCCACGAAGAAAGAGATCGATGAAGAAGTTCGTCGACAAGAAGAATCGTTGTTCAAGGATACGGTCCATCAAGCACAAGAAAACGTATCCGAATCCAACGACTATGGCTTCAATCCTGACGAGGTCGACTACAACGAAGGCGATGATGAGGAAATGGATCAGGAGGAGGAAGCCCAACAGGAAGACGACGAAATCGTTGAAGAAGACGACGATGAAATGGAAGTCGAACCTGAAGATGAACCCTCTTCCAAACTTCCAGCATGGACCAAGAACCTCGAGAGCGGCAGCAAGGGTATGCCAGAAGACGGACTTATCAACAATGATGTCTCCGAGGCCGCGGCTCACTTGTATGACAATGCCGTCATGTCAAAGATCATCACAATGTTCAGGCTCTACTACAAACAGAGAGTCACTCTGACCCCAGAGGAGTACTATGAGATGATGACGGAAACCAAGCGAGTCCGGCTGGACCTGGACGACTTCTGTCCTTATACAGGAGAAGACCAGGATGGCAACCTCAAGCGCCCGACGGAGCTGGAGTTGGATGAACTCTTTCAGGAGAAAGGGAAGAGGAATTCATGGTCAGAAGGAGAGAAGTTATACTCAGGGCGACCAAGAAACATGATGATGCCTGTCATCAAGACTTTAGAGATCTATGAGAAGATGATGGAATTTCTGGTACGCGCTGGGTACACTCCTGAGTCATTAGGCTTTCTCATGCCAATGAACCGAATGCAGGCTGATGCCCAAGGGAAACAGGAGATGCGAGTAACCATCAGCAATTTCCTTCGACGACTGCTCAAAGGAACCTTTCCGGAGCACGAGTCATACACCTTCTTTCGCTCCGGGAGCCACGGCTTCCCCAACTGCATCGAACTCCCAGCTTTCTCGGTATATCTGAGCCTGAGGGAGAAAGAACAGAGAGTAGAACTGCTCTTTGCCGCCCAACAATGTGGCATTCCTTTACCTCAAAACTTTGTCAGCAAGATGGCTTATGCTATTCAGCTGGCCGAGGCCGAGGCGCAGAGGGGAAAGACCGAGATGAAAACGAAGATGGCTCCAACCCTTGGCGACGAAGTGGTGAGTGAAGTATTCAAAGCGGTTGGACATACTGCAGCTTCCAAGTTTGCTAAACCACCCGCACAACCTTCACAGACACCTGAAGGCACTGGTTCAGCATCATCCTCATCGGCTAGCGCACCAAAGGGTAAGGCTATGCCGAAATCCCATGAACCATCAAAGGCACCGCCTGCAAAGCCTTCATCGCCGAAAGCTGCTCCGAAACGTGCGGCAGGATGGGAGAGAACTCCAACAGCACCTCAATGGAAGAAAGTCCGCCGTGAGCAGTAAACCAATTGCTTCGATCCGTCAAAATGATCACTGGGCTACAAGATGTTTACCGTCTTTATGAACAGATGATCAGGAAAAGACCAACTGAGTGGACACTGAGCGAGGCATTAGACTAATTCGCTTAGGTTCAAGACTTTTGATATTCCCAATCTGCACGAGATTCTGCATTGTGCACGTGAATTCGTTAGTTAGCATTGTAAATCTTTGGTAGCGAGGCGATCCATTTCTCCCGACGGGTGAGTGGCATGCTTAGCCAACGTAGAAAAGTAGATGTTAGCTAGCAATATTTCGCGTTGTACAGCTTGATGAAGCGTCGATGCATCGACAGCCAAGGAGTAGGCGAACCCTGAACCATTATTCCCGACGGGTATGTGGGGAACGGGGAGCCGAATGGCATGTTTTATGTACATAGGCGTAATTCGAGTAGCAGAAGAATCTAATTCAAAGTTCCCACTCTCGTGCCTATGGTTCGAAGATGCCATAGGCATGGGGGGTGCGAAGGGGAACGAGGTAACAGTGTAGCTGCACATGATGAACATGTGTACAGTCATGCATGGACCGCCAATGATATTGGCTCAAGTCCTGCGCGAGGAAAATAAGAACGCTGTCCGCATGCCATGCACTGAGATTGCCCGGCGCTATCAGCATTACTGGTACTACAGACAAAAGGGATAATCCAGAACAAGGATCAATTTGTTCACATTTTTGTTGGGCCTCCATGTAACAAATCAAAATTGATCTACCACCTGGGAAACTTCCCACCTACCAGTCTTTGGGAAACGTGAATTCATGGGGATTCGCCCTTACTATTGATCTATTGGTGCTTAATAAGCCCAAAACTCAAGCCCAACCAAATTATTTGGGGGCTTACCTTTCAGAAAGGTTCCAACAACAAAATGAAAAGGACACTGATTACGGGTTGTTTGAAAATATGGGAATGCAGAATGCGTCACCTTTGAATCCCTTATCAGCCTCATATATGATATACCTAATACATTCTGATACTAACTCAGGTTTTCTAGGGAGTGGGAACAGGTTATAAAACAATATAAACATTATATCACCATTTACCCTCTGGTAAATTAACATAGACCCTGAAAATCACATTTTTTTAGTGGAAACTAATCTTCCAACCCCGATGACTGCCAGGGTCTATGTTAATTTTCTGGAGGGTATATCCCATGAGCATTTTTCCGGGGTTTTGGGGATGATCATCTTCCAACTCACCAATGAAAAATTCCCGAGGCAGGACCGGTGACGACCCGACAGACCCGGGGGTACCGACCTTGGCGGCAAAATTTGGTGCAGAGGTCACCCCCAAAAAGATAGAAAAACATCGAAAAACCACGATATTTCAGTGGGTTTCTATAATATACCTTCTGGTAAATTAAGATAGACCCTGAAACTGACCAATTTATGGAAACTAGTCTTCCAACCCCTATCTGCCAGGGTCTATGTTAATTTACTGGAGGGTAACTCCCACTATTTATAGAGGTACAACCCATTTATATTATATAATATTATATATATGTATTATATAATATATATATATATTATATTATATATATATTATATAATCTATATAATATATACCACTATTTATCCACTATATTTCTTTTGGGTTTCTATTAAATATGTATATTAATGATATTGATGTTTCGTTCATGGGAATTCCTGTCTCCAACAAAGGATACATCGGATCAATGAAGAATGGTCAGTTTACACATGAGATAACCCTCTGGTTATGACTAACATAGCCATGGAAGCCATGGCCCATAGAAATAGATGGTTTACCTATTAAACCATGGAAAATCCCAACCATAAATGGATGTTTCTAGCTGGGAAAATCAACCATTTCCATGGCTATGTTAGTCATAACCAGAGGGTATATGGACTTGTTCTATTGCCAAGTTGGGTTACCGCATGGATTCGCATGGTAATCTTCAAAAGTCGAAGATGGCGAATTTCATCCATCTCATCCAAGTACCAAAATCGGCACAACCATGGTTTTCTTCGGATGTAAAGATACCATGGTTCCATGGAAACAAAACCATTTTTTAAAAATATTAACTATAGAATTGGTGGCTTATTTGCCTTTTTTTTTTCCGCATTAAAGTGGTACTTAATCATCTTTTTATAGCGTTCTGCGTGTGTCAAATATTCAATGATTTGCCATGGAGGAACCCCAAAAATGGTTCCCATCCACTCCGCAGGTTGGAAGGGTTCAACCTGGTCAAAGATCCCCGAACAGCACTGTTGAAACGATATGGAAAAACGATGTTAAAAGGGAAAATGCTGGGAAAATGCTCTGAAAATGCTGATGAACACTGAGTAACCATTAAAGAAAACTGAGAGATAGCCTATTCTCGGACAAAGGCGTTCGATAGGTGGGATTCGAACATATCCGAACCATATGTTCAATATGTTGCTGGTAGGAAGACATGCCACGTGTTTCAACAAACCGTTGCCGCAGCTCCAAAGATCAAGCAGTGAAGGCATGCAAGAAATGGTTGTCAGCAAGATTAACCATCGGCTATGTAAGCAGCATATGGGGATGTAAGCAACATTTTTGGACTACGACTTGGCATACTTGAATGGTTTAGCGGTCCAGAAGAGATGATAATGATATATTAATGATATAATGGTTCCAATATGTTCCAACATGTCCGGTTTTGCTGCTGATTGCCATTCCAGTATGTTGTTGCTAAATCCTCCGGTTTCGACCTATCCTCACCTGGGACCTCCAAAAAAACTCGCAGGACATAGGAAATTCATCCACGAGACAGGATCCGAACATCGCCATGCAATGGGCTGGAAAGCAGTTCGGCCAATTCAAGCGCCTCTTCCAATCCAAGCCGCCAGGGCGCCCAGAAATCCAGACTTCAGCTGAAATTGGGCAACTGCTGTTACCATCTCTGAATGTCTTCGGCTCTGTTGATATATTATAGGGCATTGGGCAGTGATATATGTCGCAGGCTGTTGCTGGAGGACGGAAGCTTTTTTTTCAGGTTGACATCGGGAATACCATGAATAGCAGGATATTGGGATATTCTCAACAGGAATATCAACAGAAATGAAACCAGTTCGCTCTCCAGAGCATCCACCACAGTGATCACCGGATGATAGGCCCCGTATAGCCACTGGTAAACTAACAGTTGGTGACCTGGAAATCACCATATGTTCAACTACAAATGGCCATGTTCAATAGATAAATTACATATACATAACTATAAATGGCCATGTTCAATAGTTTTGCCATAAATTAGATAAATTACCATTGATTTTGTAAGTGTCATAGGCCCTTTTACGATAGCCCCTTGTAATTCAACAAGGGGCTCCATTTGTCAAGGCCAGAAGAAGTGCAGATTCCTGCTGCACAGGTGCAGGCGAGTCACCAGGATGAGAGAATTGGAGATGTGAAGCAAAACACTTTGGGATACACAAATTGGCGGAACCATTACTAACTTTCTGGGACAGATTATATATAAAATTGTATATATATATATGTATATAATTATTTATATAATTATATATATATATAAATATGCTATCTAACATGAAACCTTGCATGAACCTTACCATCTAACATGGAAAAATTGGGATGATGCTACTTGAGATCTCCATGTGTTAACCTGCTGTAAAGTTCTGTTAACCTACTGAGACCTACTGGTAATTTTGTATGGTAACTATTGGGAATTGCCAATTATTACCAAGAGATGTTAGCCAAAAAGAATTCAGATGGAACCGTACTGGTACCCAGCAAGATTATATTTGCAAGCTAGGGCTTTAATGCTAAACTTACTGGTACCGGTGTTTTTTTTAAGAGCAGATGCTGAACCTTCAACCAGCCGGCAGCAAGTTCAATGACTTTCCTGCCAACTATTCTGGTTGGTGGTTTGGAACATGGCTTTTATTTCCCCAATAGTTGGGATGATGATCCAATCCGACGAACTCATATTTTTCAGGGGGGTAGGTCAACCAATTAGTATTTCATGATGATTGCATTCAGGCCCCCAGAAATCCAAGAGTCTCAAAGAGGAACTCTGAGCTCGGAACTAAACTCAACTGGGTTGTGCAGGTGTTTTCATCCTTGGATATGGCACTTCAGGTTGCAGTTTCCCAGGTAATCAAAACTGGCAATGGAAAATGCTAATGTTCTATGGTTGGCCCGTTTTTTCGAATTGGAATTCCCCATCCAGCCATGTTTGATTTCCATTTTTGGGCCATTTTTGCTGGGGTGATTTTCTCTGGCTGGTGGTTTCAAATATGTTGTATGGTACTCGTCATACCTGGGTTTAGACAACATACTCGCTCCCTGGGTTGTCTCAAGTATGGTACCCCCAAAATCCACTGCGCAGTTATCATCATTCCTCATCATATTCCTTATTAAAAGTTGTCAGTTATTGAGGGATAAACAATGATAAACCCCATGTTCAGAGATATAATGGCTGTTCATTGGTTGTATCTGCATTGTGTCCCGAATATTTTGTTAGATATTCCATGATAATTAATCATGATAGCCCCACGAATCTATATCCTCAGAATATCCCCAGGTGAAGCATGGATATTTCTGGTTGAAACTCTTTCTGAAGGTGGCCAACGATGCTCGCTCAAAGGAAAGGCTCCGATTAGAGGTGCCTCGCATCACCACTTTGAGGGTTAGACTTTTGTCATTTTGCAATGGGAAAATTCCATGACTCTCTATGTCTATGTTCCCATTAAAAGATAGTGGGAAGCATTGCCATGTGTGATTGCTGCATTGGGCGACCACGAACATTTGATCAACAAAGCAAAATTGAGATTGATTCTTATATATACATAAAAACATGTTACACACACACACGCATAAATATAAATAAATAAATATATATATATATACATACACACGTATGATTATACATGGTTAATTCAAATAATTATCATGAATTATCCATAGGGTTTCGCAGTCACGAAAATGCAGTTGAGTGATGGGCCCGGCCTTTACCAGTTTTACCCAGGTTGATGACACATTTGACTGGTAGACACCCCTATAGTGGGCCTGACGGTGATTGAAGAAATAAATTGTAGCATGCTACAACCCCATTCAAACCCCATCAAATGCGTGGTGTTAGCTGGTAGGGTGTCATCAAAAAAAGATGGTGCTCGAGTACTCGAAAATAACATCCTTTGTCTTCAAAAACGCATACTTAAAATCATGTTTCATCATGTCAACATGATATCAACATGACATCAACCCATTAATCACCATTAAAATCCATTAAATCACCATTCAATGGCCATTAAATCACCATTTGTTGGTCATGCTTTGTGTGCATAGCAGAGCGCTCTTCAGCGGCACAGGCCGTGGAGCTTCAACGTCAACTCGATGCCTTGGTCTCCGGCTTCGAAGCGACGGTGTCATGGCGAAGCTCCAGGAAAAATCACCATACCACTGGTGGTATGGCATTGTTTTACTAACATGAATGGTGATTGATGCATATAGTGATTGATAGTGTTTATTAGTGATTATGAATGATTTAGCTTCTGGTAATTTATAGTGACTCATGGGGATACCCTCTGGCAAACGAACATAGCTATGGAAAATTGACCATTTTTTATATAGGTAATTCAACTGCAAATGACAATTTTCGATAGTTCTGCTAAATTACCAGAGGGTATCATGACTTACCCTCCGGTAATTTGACATGGATTTGAAAATGGTGTATACCACCCAAAATAGTTGTTTGAATAGGGAGGAAGGGGTGATCTAATATATTTGATAGGGGAAGTGATTAGTAATATTTAGATTTAATAACCCTGGTTTGCAATAACCCTGGTTTGTAAGCCTCTTAACAACTGAACATGTTCACTTATTGTATTTTAAATAGTCCATGTTTGTACCATTCGAAGCAGGTTAGTTCGATGAAAGTCAATGATTTTTTATAATTAATACACATATATAATTATATAATTATTTAGCACATATATTAATAAGATTTAATATGTACACATGTTAATACATATAAATAATGACAGATTACATCATATTTACCAAGGTTTCCCACGTTTTGGCGTGGACCTTTTGGCTCCGCTTTTGGCTCCGCAGTCCGAGGCGGTGAACGGCGCCTGGGTCCAGCGCTTCATCGATCTTCATCAGCAGCACATGGAGCTGCTCGTTGGGTGGACATCGCTGGACTCCGGTGGTGAAATCTCCCAAAAAAAACTGGGGATATTGGCTTGGCCACTGGTAAATTGATATTGAATATGGATGAATATGGATGGTGAGCTATATTTAGGATAGGTATGTCTCATCATATACAGAACTGATATATGTATTGATCCATAGTGTCATAATGGTGTTTCAATATGGGATAACCGGTGAAACCGGTGGATTTGCCCTCCGGTCCATCTGAGGATCGGTTGTCGTTTGGAAGATGGTACCGTGAACATCAACGCAGAAGTGAAACGCTTGCCCCTGGGATGCGGGATGTTGCGGGGGGAAAGTGAGGGCTATGGCGGCTATGGTTGGTTATGCCGGAAAAATGGGGATGTAACCTCCAGTTATCATAGGTTTCAATAGGACCATCCTCTGTAAATGGTGGATTTTCCATTGCCATGTTTGATTACTTGAGGGTAAACCGTATCAATGAGGATTTTTCACTGGGAATAAACCTGATCAAAAGGATGGTTACAACCGCAACAACAATTTTCAGCCAATGTTCCCGGCAAACATAGGCAGTTACATGTAAAGACCATTGCAATCATCTTTGTTCCAGAGTGTCTTAGGAAATATCATCTCATTTGTCTTCCATGTGTAATCCTTTGTGGAAATATCATCCAAAAAAAATTGGAACTATAACGGAACATGTGTAAATCTCATCTCATATCATCCCCACATTTTTTGGATGAAAGTCTCATCCCAACGGGCCCCATCCCCTTTTCCAAAGGAAGGCCATCTCATCGAGGCAGCGCGTCCTGGCACATCCCAAAGTCCTAGCGGCCTTGGATACGCGGGATGGATTCTACAAGGGCAAGCGGAACGTGACAGGTCGAGTGGTGACGTGACACGGTGGTGACGGAGCAAAAATGAGCCGAAGTGGTGACCATGAGGGGGAGTTAGTAGCCAGATGATTTTTTGTTTTTTTGTATGTGATGAGTGAGAAATCTGGCATTGTTGTTTAAAGTAACTTTGGGTTGATGATTTCGGCTGAGGGATATGGATATGTCACTGGGAGTGTGGAGTCCAGGTCCAGGTCCAGGTCAAGTAGCTGCAGTTGCAAGTTCTTTCGTCCAAGTCATCCTTTCACAATCATCATTTTCTGGTTGGTGCTTTGGAACCTTTTATGACTTTCCATTCAGTTGGGAATGTCATCATCCCAACTGGTCCGAAGTCCATCATTTTTCAGAGGGGTAGGGCTCAACCACCAAGCAGTTTTGGTGGGACTTAACCCCCCAAAGGTAACCACCCCAAAAAATTTAAACCCGGTGTTGGGGTGAAATCGGCTCGATTTGAACATAGATCATCTTTGTAGGGAAACGACGGGATTTCATTGGATTTGCATAATATGTTTTTCCAGGTTTACTCCAATCATCCGCGGGCAGGCGACTTCCGGCCACCCAGTTCCAGTCCGCCCAGTGGAAGTCCACCTGCGGAAGTTTTTCATGTGGGTTTTTTGGCGGCAACTTAGACCGGCGACCTGCTGAAAGGGCGGGGGGTTCCATAAAGGGTGTACCCCTATTGATGGATGGATTATAATGGAAATTCCTGTTAAAATGATGAAATTCATGATTTGGGGGTGAACATCGGGGAAAAAAACTGGTGAAACACGCGGGAGACAGGGAAAGATGGAGAAAACCTGCATGCACAGCCCGCACTCTGAGGCTTAGATGATGTCGTTTGGCTGCACATAGAGGTGGTGATGGGTGAAAACCATGGTCAAAACCCTGTACCGATTCTCGGTGAACATCGATTCTCGGTGGTAAATAGATGCTCATCCAAAAAAAATGTACTATAGCTTTTTGACACATCCTCACATCCCCGTATAGGTGATTTTAATGGATCTGGTCATGATGTGGTCGTTGAAATTCAAATCGCTCATTCCACATCCATCCCCCCCGGCATCGCCTAGGATAGCGAGGAGGAGAGGTCGTGGTTGGTTTTTTGGGGTTTCACCTCCATGCAGGATGCCAACGTTGGGTGTCACATCTTTGAATTTAGTAACTACACACACATATATATATATTACAACGAATATCTGAAAATTTCATAACTCAAATCATCTAAAATCTGTAATAATTAATGATTATGTGCGATCAAAATGTTGGCCAATGGCCAGAACATGCCAAGACATATTCAAAATGAGGATCCAATAGCAGCCGTGTTTGGTTTCCAGCTCCCTGGCCAGGAAGTGATTGACGCCAACGGGGCGAAGAGAACGGTTCAGCGACCTGGCGAATTTGTGAAGAGAACGGATGGCTCAGATACAGGTCACAGGTGCTGGTTTTTGTAGAAAAATATGAAATGATGGTGTTTTTATTGTGTAAATGTAGGTGAAACCTGATTTGGGAACATTTGGGAACCTGATTTTAGATGATGTTGGATATTTTTGGGTGGGTGCAGGGTTGTTTGAAGTTTATTTGCAGGCATTCTTGATCCGACGTTTGCTACAGTATGTTATAGTTGAATATAGTTGAATAAGTAGTTGATTGCTGTTTCTGATAACCCAATATCATCCTATATTCAATAGCGAATATCTATAAATAACCCAATATCATCCTATATATCATCCTTTATAGTTAATATTCAAAAACCCAATATCATATATTCACTAATCAAGATTGTGGTAGCAAGGCCATGCAAGGCCAAGGCCCAAAAATTTGCCTGCCGAGGCGGGGCTTCCGGGAAGCAGTGCGGAAACCCAAAAGGGCCGGGAGTGCCTTCCCCTGCGCTTCCCCCTATTGATCGACCATACGAACTGCACCTAAAATGGTTATATCCAATACAAAACCAGCGAAACCCGGCGCTGTTGATGATTCTTGGAAGGGATTGTAACGAATCCCAGAGTGCAGGAGACATCCTTCCACAGACCCGAATCCATTCTTGGCATTTCGCAAGTTAAAGTTCAGAAACAGCATTCAACTCAACATCCAACCACAAGAGATAGTGAATTCACCATGGAATTCACCATGTTTTCGCAGATGAAATCTGAAATCAAAACACGTCCCGGGATCAACGGGGCTCATTGGCCTCCGCGTCCCTACGTGGCGTGATGTTGCAAAAACACCATTGGGTTTTTTGAAGTTCAGCATTCGAAAAAAAAAGTACAATTACCCAAATCATTATGCATCATCATACGTCATAATCATAGTCAGATGTAAGTCAAAAAAATATGAATCAACCATAGGCATCCATAGGTTTGATGGTGAATACAGTGATTTTCCGAACTCGGCCAAGGACCCCGATGAACCGGACGACTTGGAACGCTGCTATGCCTTTGATGCGGGAGGTCGCGGCAGCCGAGTGGGAGTTCAGCAGCAAAAAACGATGGGTATAGCATGTTTTCATGGGAATGTCAAGGAACATGTATGGATATTTCCATGATATTTCGATCTACTTGGAGATATTTCATGGGATATTTGATGATATCTAGATATTTAAGGTATTTACATAAACTAATATATGTAGTGGGATGGGTATTGAAAAACATGTTTGTGCAGATATATGGGGCAGCATCTGGGATAATTACAGAGAGAAATGGAAAGGTCCTTGTGGAGGGCGCAGTCAAATAATGGAATACCATGGGAGAATTAGTCATATTTGTTTTTGCGACCTGAAAATTGGTAACACCTATGGGTTTTATTGGGTTTTTAGTCAGGGAAACGATGTTATAATAATTGGATTGCGTATATCATAACAAATCCTCATGTTCATGTTTGGTAGTTATAACTCTACCATTTGTTTGATATGGGTATGTGTCAAAATTTCATTTAAAAAAATCACACCTGGCGTGCCTAATGGATGATTTGGGGTACGCCATGACTTAGGAAACATCCACAAGTGGGGAATATCATGGGATATAACTCACACTTAATTTGAAATACCCTCTGGTAAACTGTCACATAACTATGGAAAATCCCCCATTTTTAATGGGTAAATCAACTACAAATTGCCATTTTCCATAGCTATGTTGAGGGTATCAGGGGAATCTCGTCAGGCCCCAGCGGCTCGCTGCCGAGCGGCTCGACGTTGCCGCCCGGCCGGGAGGCGCTGGCGCCAGCTCCTCCCGTAAATTGGGAAAATACGGAAACCATGATGGAAATGCATTTTTTTAATAATATAATAATGATAGCTATTGTCCAGGAAAAATCAGAACGAACATGGATTTCCATATCTGTGTTGATGTTCAGGAGTGCAAATCATACCATTCAAAAACGGGTTTGGGAGGGCATATTTGAATATCTTTAAGATACAGGGACAGATTTGAAAATTTGGCGATGGATTTTGTGCACTTCTTTTGGGGCAGCTCAGCCAACCAAGTGGCACCATGGCACAGAGTTTGTCGCGAACCTTAACTCAACCAACCGCTACCTACAAGGGAAGTCTGCCATATGAGTCAGTATGTTCGATGGACATGCTGAAACATCAACTTTTGATTACTGGAACCCACTAATTTCAGGTACCTTAATTTGGGTCTCTGATATTGCCATTGGCTAGGCTTCACCTTCCCTGTCCAGCGGCCTACGCTTTTCTCAACATTTCTTAACTACCTCTCCCACGTACAATATATGATGGGTATGGATAGGTATGTTGTTATTTTATCAACCTACTTGAAGCCACATAAGCCAGTTAATTAAGTGGCCACATTGGCATGTCATACCACCTGCTTCTGTCCATCACTACACATCGCCTAGCCTAGTGGTTTACTTTTTACCTATCTAGATTTCAATGTAAAAATCCACTTGCAACAGCCAGCAACAGCCAAACAAAACGAATGCTGCGGTTACCCTCCAGCAAACACTGTAGCAAACCCATTCATTGTTTTAAACACACACGTTTTTTTTCCATATGGGTGTTTCCGAAAATAGGGGTGGAGGGGGGGGCAAATCATCCTTAACATGTCATCCTATTTAGTATTGAAACAACCGTAGGTGTAGGGGTTCCCCATTTTGGGATATATCCTGACACAAGCTCATTGCAAAAGCCATTAAGATCCCAAGTGAAGATATATTAACATCAAACAAAGACCCATTAGAATCCGATTAACATCACACAAAATCAATAAAATCAATAAAATGGTGGTGGTTTAACAATAAAAGATATTCAACGATGATATTACCATTATGCTACCATTTAATATAATCATTTTAACAACCACCAGCCAGGTGCACCAGTTGACGTCTGCCAAAGATGCAGTCAAGGCACCGTTGTTTTTTTCTCGGTGGCAAGCTCCAAAAAAGATGCAGATGTATGCAGATGCATTATTCAAAAATGATAAGAATAAGATTTACTATACAATTTGTTGGTGAGACTCCTGTTTGACCTTATTTTTGGTGGTACTATCATATCAAATACCATTGATGTAAACCCCAAAATGAATAGGACCACGACTAAACCAGGGGTTTTTGTTGCTTGGGTTACAGAGATGTACATCCGCGATGCCCTTGGGGCATCCCTCAGATCGGGTCACCGATGTTTACATATGACACACAGGGCATATCAGTTTTTTGCTTGTGATATACGTAGTGCGACATATGCATTGATAGTGATACACCATGATACACCGTACAAACGTGTCTTAGTATACAGATGATATCAGATGATTACATATTTATACTGTACATGTGGCTCCAATTCCAACTCTTCCAACTCTTGAAACAACTCGCTTTCGATGTGCCACCTGGCGCGATGGAATCAACCAGGCCATGGCCTGATAGGGATACGAATAGCAACTCCACCGAATAGCAAGGAATAGCAACCAACCATCAAGATACCATGATACCGTCGTTACTATTCATTACCAGCCGTTTGTTGAAACGCAATTCTAGGTGTGAAGCCTGCTGGTCATAAGAAATCAAGTAGTCAGTAGAACAATGATGAGCCCCATTCCAATGATATATCCATTTATAGTCCGAGAATCATTGGGACGACCCAAAAACATCCAAAAACCATGTCACGACATGGATCAACTTGGGCCTAGTTATGCTGGGTTAGTTGTGGGCCCATGATTGTAGCGTACCTGCCCCTTAAAGGTCTAGTTACTGATTGGGTTTACCACATTGTTGATGTTTGCAGGTCCACCATGGATGGGTATGTGCTAACCAGCTATGTCTTGGAGTGAGACTAAGATATGCCAGGTTTATAGTAATCCTAAAGAAGACCGAAAAGTGATGTATCATGATGTATCACTATTTTAGTAGCAATAAGATGTGATTAATCTTTGTTCTATCTCTTTGGGGATTGCTATACATCGCCATTCACTGGGAAATATCCGGGCACCGGAGGCTGATGCTCTACTGGGTGTCCATCAGTTACTGGGCGCGATCTGGCGCGGAGCGAGCAGGGCGTGAAATGGAGGTACCCTCCGGTACTCAAACGTGGCAGGCTGGAAAATCCTCGAACGAAAGGGAGGTTTAGAGCTGGGAAAAATCACTTAGAGCTCAAGATGATCGGATTTTCTAGTTTGCCACGTTTGGTTACCGGATGCTACCAAAGAAATTCAAGTTTTGAAGCTAGATCTCGAAGACGATCCTATCCAATTTGGCCATTGCATAGGCCTTACATACTTTGTGTACCTCGAATTAGGTCATATCTGGAAAGCTCTTCCTTGAGCAAATATACTCTGTGGCCAACATTGCCTTGTCAGAGGCCGTCGGGTTGGCTGTTGCCCCCTTTGAAAAGGTGATTTTGGTGGTGTGAAGCAAGCGAATAAAGTGTTTGGACATGTGTTTGCTCGAGCCAATATTGAGAAGTTAAAGAAAAGAAAAAAAACATGAGCTAGAAAATGCAGTCTTGCATACTGTCACACTCAGGTTCGAGGAAGCATCATCAAGACGGAAAGAGGAGGAGAGGTTGGCCAGAGAAGAGGCGGCCAGAAAGGAGGAGGAAGAGAGGTTGGCAAAGGAAGAAGCTGCCAGAAAGGAAAAGGAAGAGAGGTTGGCGCAAGAAGAAGCTGCCAAAAAGGAAGAGGAGAGGTTGGCCAGAGAAGCAGCTGCCAGAAAGGAGGAGGAAGAGAGGTTGGCGAAAGAAGAAGCTGCTAAAAAGGAGGAGGAAGAGAGGTTGGCCAGAGAAGAGGCCGCCAGAAAGGAGGAGGAAGAGGGGTTGGCGATGGAAGCAGCAGCCAAAAAGGAGGAGGAAGAGAGGTTGGCGATGGAAGCAGCAGCCAAAAAGGAGGAGGAAGAGAGGTTGGCCAGAGAAGAGGCCGCCAGAAAGGAAGAAGAAGAGAGGTTGGCGATGGAAGAAGCAGCCAGAAAGGAGGAGGAAGAGAGGTTGGCGATGGAAGCAGCAGCCAAAAAGGAGGAGGAAGAGAGGTTGGCCAGAGAAGAGGCAGCCAGAAAGGAGGAAGAGAGGTTGGCGAAGGAAAAGGAGGAAGAAGAGAGGTTGGCGATGGAAGCAGCAGCCAAAAAGGAGGAGGAAGAGAGGTTGGCCAGAGAAGAGGCCGCCAGAAAGGAGGAAGAGAGGTTGGCAAAGGAAAAGGAGGAGGAAGAGAGGTTGGCGATGGAAGCAGCTGCCATAAAGGAGGAGGAAGAGAGGTTGGCCAAAGAAGAGGCCGCCAGAAAGGAGGAGGAAGAGAGGTTGGTCAGAGAAGCAGAAGCCAGACAGGAAGAGGAGGAGAGGTTGGCCAAAGAAGAAGCTGCCAGAAAAGAGGAGGAAGAGAGGTTGGCGATGGAAGCAGCAGCCAAAAAGGAGGAGGAAGAGAGGTTGGCCAGAGAAGAGGCCGCCAGAAAGGAGGAGGAAGAGAGGTTGGTCAGAGACGCAGCAGCCAGACAGGAAGAGGAGGAGAGGTTGGCCAAAGAAGAAGCTGCCAGAAAGGAGGAGGAAGAGAGGTTGGCGATGGAAGCAGCCGCCAAAAAGGAGGAGGAAGAGAGGTTGGCGATGGAAGAAGCCGCCAGAAAGGAGGAGGAAGAGAGGTTGGCCAAAGAAGAAGCTGCCAAAAAGGAGGAGGAAGAGAGGTTGGCGATGGAAGCAGCAGCCAAAAAGGAGGAGGAAGAGAGGTTGGCGAAAGAAGAAGCAGCCAGAAAGGAGGAGGAGAGGTTGGCAAAGGAAAAGGAGGAGGAAGAGAGGTTGGCGATGGAAGCAGCTGCCATAAAGGAGGAGGAAGAGAGGTTGGCCAAAGAAGAGGCCGCCAGAAAGGAGGAGGAAGAGAGGTTGGTCAGAGAGGCAGAAGCCAGACAGGAAGAGGAGGAGAGGTTGGCCAAAGAAGAAGCTGCCAGAAAAGAGGAGGAAGAGAGGTTGGCGATGGAAGCAGCAGCCAAAAAGGAGGAGGAAGAGAGGTTGGCCAGAGAAGAGGCCGCCAGAAAGGAGGAGGAAGAGAGGTTGGTCAGAGACGCAGCAGCCAGACAGGAAGAGGAGGAGAGGTTGGCCAAAGAAGAAGCTGCCAGAAAGGAGGAGGAAGAGAGGTTGGCGATGGAAGCAGCCGCCAAAAAGGAGGAGGAAGAGAGGTTGGCGATGGAAGAAGCCGCCAGAAAGGAGGAGGAAGAGAGGTTGGCCAAAGAAGAAGCTGCTAAAAAGGAGGAGGAGGAGGAGAGGTTGGCCAGAGAAGAGGCCGCCAGAAAGGAGGAGGAAGAGAGGTTGGCAAAGGAAGAGGCTGCCAAAAGGGAAGAGGAAGAGAGGTTGGCCAGAGAAGAGGCCGCCAGAAAGGAGAAGGAAGAGAGGTTGGCAGAGGAAAAGGAGGAGGAAGAGAGGTTGGCCAGAGAAGAGGCGGCCAGAAAGGAGGAGGAAAAGAGGTTGGCAGAGGAAAAGGAGAAGGAAGAGATGTTGGCGATGGAAGAAGCAGCCAAAAAGGAGGAGGAAGAGAGGTTGGCCAGAGAAGAGGCCGCCAGAAAGGAGGAGGAAGAGAGGTTGGCGCAAGAAGAAGCAGCCAGAAAGGAAGAGGAGGAGAGGTTGGCGCAAGAAGAAGCTGCCAGAAAGGAAGAGGAGGAGAGGTTGGCGCAAGAAGAAGCTGCCAGAAAGGAGGAGGAAGAGAGGTTGGTGATGGAGGAGGAAGAGAGGTTGGCGATGGAACAAGCTGCCAAAAGGGAGGAGGAAGAGAGGTTGGCCAGAGAAGCGGCAGCCAGGCAGGAAGAGGAGGAAAGGTTGGCGCAAGAAGAAGCTGCCAGAAAGGAGGAGGAAGAGAGGTTAGCGATGGAAGAAGCAGCCAAAAAGGAGGAGGAAGAGAGGTTGGCCAGAGAAGTTGCAGCTAGAAAGGAAGAGGAGGAGAGGTTGGCCAGAGAAGCGGCAGCCAGGCAGGAAGAGGAGGAGAGGTCGGCCAAAGAAGAAGCTGCCAGAAAGGAGGAGGAAGAGAGGTTGGCGAAAGAAGAAGCTGCCAAAAAGCAGGAGGAAGAGAAAGAAGAGGCAGCCAGAAAGGAGGAGGAAGAGAGGTTGGCCAGAGAAGAAGCAGCCAAAAAGGAGGAGGAAGATAGGTTGGCCAGAGAAGAGGCCGCCAGAAAGGAGGAGGAAGAGAGGTTGGCGAAAGAAGAAGCTGCCAGAAAGGAGGAGGAAGAGAGGTTGGCCAGAGAAGAGGCCGCCAGAAAGGAGGAGGAAGAGAGGTTGGTCAGAGACGCAGCAGCCAGACAGGAAGAGGAGGAGAGGTCGGTGAATGCCGTGAAGGGAGAAGCTGCCACAATGGATAAGGAGGAGAGTTTGTTGTGAGTTGATGCCCGAATATTGCTTCAAAGTGTGCATTATGTTCGGAAATTACATATATTTTGCCAAAGTATCAGCCGCCTTGATATTTCCACCTCTTTCCAATGCTACTGGCGATATGGCTGATGATGGCGGCAGCCTTTTAACAGTCTATGCCTTCGGTTCCAAGTTTGGGATGATGACTCCCAACAGCTTAAAGATTCAGCAGTGTGGCGTGCCCCAATTTTCTGAAGCCCGAATTTTGTCCAATTTTCTGAAGCCCCCAAATGACATTAAAGCAACACACATATACAGTCTACAATAGATAGAGGGAGAGATACATAGATAGATTGATTGATTTATTGGCTGATAGATAGATAGCTAGCTAGCTAGCTAGGTAGGTAGATAGATAGATAGATTAGATAGATTAGATATATTTGATAGATTAGATAGATAGATTAGTTGAATTTAACTGAGTTGAATAGAAAGATAGATAGGATAGGATAGGATAGGATAGGTAGATAGATATATATATATATCCAGAACGGCCCCTCATGGGGGAGTGATTTTTGCTCTAGAAATGGTCAAAAATACTGGTATTTACAGTGTTTTGTGACCAAAGTGGGCTTAAAACCGTTATTTTAGAGCAAAAAATAGAGTTCACCTCCAAAGGCTCTCATATGCTGTCATAAATCACTGGCATTTACAGACTCTTGTGGCAGGATTCAATTTTTTCTGTGATGCTTGCAAAGAACTACAAACAATCAGCACATAACAGAAAACATCTGCTGCACAACATGCCATAAGAATGAAACATCTGCTGCACAACATGCCATAAGAATGGGTAGCTGCACATCTTGGAACAGAATATACAGTAGCAATAGGTGACTAGTGTGATGGAGGTGATGGAGAAATTCTATTGCTAAAAGCAATTGATATGATATAGGTGTTTCTTCATGAACTTGTTAGATTGATATCATCTTAACATATATTGTATATAGAAGCATTTGCGCTACATAAGAAGTATGGTGGGAAGGGCATACATTATATAGGTGGATATAACATAACAGAAAACATCTGCTGCACAACATGCCATAAGAATGAAACATTTGCTGCACAACATGCCATAAGAATGGGTAGCTGCACATCTTGGAACAGAATATACAGTAGCAATAGGTGACTAGTGTGATGGAGGTGATGGAGAAATTCTATTGCTAAAGCAATTGATATGATATAGGTGTTTCTTCATGAACTTGTTAGATTGATATCATCTTAACATATATTGTATATAGAAGCATTTGCGCTACATAAGAAGTATGGTGGGAAGGGCATACATTATATAGGTGGATATAACATAACAGAAACATCTAACCCCTCTGGTATATAGAAGCAGAGTTGGTGGTGTCAAGCTGTTGAATATTAAGGTCAGGCAACCTGTGTGGTGGCATAGCTATTCAAAGATAACTGTATGTTTGCTTCTTTGAAACATAAGTTTAAAATATGGCCAAGATCCAAACATACACAATCTAGAATCACCAAAACCTGCACAGGCATCAAAAAAACAAACCAACCAACCTAGCACAGTACCAAACCTGCACAAGCACCAAAAAAAAAAAACAAAATTTCCAGGAACTATGGGTCCACTTCTGAGTAGTTGCTGGAATTTTTGTTTTTTTTGTTTTTTTTGGTGCCTGTCGATGTTTGGTGCATCTAGTGGTTTGTTTTTTTTGTTTTTTTTGGTGCCTGTCAATGTTTTGTGAAGTCAGAGTCACCAAACCTGCACAGGCACCAAAAAAACCAAAAAAACCAAACCACTAGATGCACCAAACCTGCACAGGCACCAAAAAAACTAAAAATTCCAGGAACTATGGGTCCACTTCTGAGTAGTTGCTGGAATTTTTGGTTTTTTTGGTTTTTTTGGTGCCTGTCGATGTTTGGTGCATCTAGTGGTTTGGTTTTTTTGGTGCCTGTCAATGTTTTGTGAAGTCAGAGTCACCAAACCTGCACAGGCACCAAAAAAACCAAAAAAAACAAACCACTAGATGCACCAAACCTGCACAGGCACCAAAAAAACAAAAAAACTAAAAATTCCAGGAACTATGGGTCCACTTCTGAGTAGTTGCTGGAATTTTTGTTTTTTGTTTTTTTTGGTGCCTGTCGATGTTTGGTGCATCTAGTGGTTTGTTTTTTTTGTTTTTTTGGTGCCTGTCAATGTTTTTGTATATCTCATGTCAAGATCATGATGAAAAAAATGTATTTTACTAGGGTTTTAGACCCTCCAAATGTATAAAACATCGGTATTTACAGTGTTTTATCATCATTTTTAATGAAAATTCACTCCCCCACGGGGTGCCGCCCTCTATATATATATATAGAGATATATATATATATATATATATATAGGTATATATTGTTTTTGACATAATATATTCAGAAAATAAATAGAGAGGAACTAACCTCATTGTATTTCATTCAGGTGACTAACCAAACACCAACCAGTTTCCCAAAGTGCTTCTCAGGACTTGCTGGGTTTGGGTCCAAGTCTCGCCACTTCACCAGAGGAGGCGTTGGTTTCAGCGGAATGGACGGCCAGATGGCCCACCTATAGATCGCTATAGATGATATACGGTTTGAGTTACTTATGAAATCTTATGTTGATTTATTCCTTTATTTTCTCATATGCAGTATGTAAATATAATTACATTCGTATATATATATGTGTGTGTTTTTGTGCGTATACATACATGCATGCATATATATATATACATATCAATATATATATAATCAACAATATTTATAGATATGGATTTAGGAACAGATGTGCAGTTTTCACCAGGTACATACGTACATGTAAACACATGTATCATGTAACGCCAACCTTGTTTGGCTCAAGACAAAATAGTGAGCTGCATACTTTCCATTCATGGTAGCGGAGCATTTTGTTCCAGGGTTTCCTGATGCTGCTCAAGCTATGCAAGTGACCCAATTGTTGCAAGAGCTCCGGACCAAGGTTCAAAGACTTAAACAAAGAGACACTGAGTTGATGCAGCAGGTGACTGCTCTCCAAACTACCGGTTCGGCTGTTTCAGCTGTGAGTGGCGGTGAGGCAGTCACGGCTGAGCTGGCAAGGTCGCAGAAGGAGCTGATAGAAGCCTTGAGGGCCAAAGAAGCGATTAGGCTGGTGGACAAGCTGGAGCAGAAGGTTTCCTTGGAATGAGAAAGAACTTTTCGACATCATTCTGAAATCCGATGAATGCGGTGCCGAGAGATGGAGGAGGTTGATCAGAAAATATGTTAATGGGTTGGCGCCCAGGGGAGCGATGTTTCACCAAGTCCTGCCCTAAACATGCAGGCAGGTTTTCGGGATGAGTCCAATGTGACCGCGCGGCGGTTGGCACCCGATTTTGGGCCGCATTTTGCGGGCACCCACAATTTTGCAGAAGGAGGCGTAGCATCGGTGGAGCAAGGTGATGAGATGTCTGGGCAAGGGTAGACCGTGCTTTCGGCCGCGCACACCACCACCACAGCCACGTCCACCATGATCAATTTTGACAGCAGCAAGCACCAGCCACACCACGGCTTGGTTTCTGTCGGCCCGGGGTCTGCGGACTGGCCCTGTTGGCAGTACACCTACAAAGAGGCAGGGACCTGTTATGTCAAAACTGCGGCACAGGCCCAGCAACTCCCGATTGTGGGGATGGATACCGAAGCCTGTGATCCGTATTCAATGCAACCTCATTTCTGGTTGCCAGTGCGACTTGACGCAATTACGTGGTTCTTCGCGTTCACTGGGCAAGGCCACCATGCACTGGGGTGCGCGCAACAATTGGCGCAAGCGATTCAAGAAGCAGATGTGTCACCCGGGTCTCCGAGCTTCCGTCAGCGGTGCACATTCTGCAAAGCTAATCCATATCTATGTGATGAGACACAATTGAACTTGTGTAGGCTCCACGCCCAAGCTCATAGAGCAAATGCCAGGAATAAGGGTGCGTTTAGCGACTCCACCCTAAACGCATTTAATTTACTTTTGGCATCATCAGCATGTGCCCGAGGACCACTTGAATCAGTCTGCGGCAGCCGAGCAATGACCCCGTGGGCAGTGTTGATCGACCAATGGAGATTGTGGATCGCCGTCGCGTACTGGGCTTGGAGTACCGCCGATATGGTCATCGAAATATCGGCAGGGCAAGTCGCCTTGCTCAATAACGGGCTCGGCATGAGCTGGCTTTCATGGCTATTTTGGAAGATCACATTCATCGGGCACTTTCTGCCCCTGACCATCATCATCGTTTTGGACAGCATCTCAGGAGACGGAGGGGCCAGGCCGGGCCGGAGGGAGCTGGCACAGAGACAGAGGTTGGCTGATGAGTCATCCTGGCTTGCCGGCGGCTTTGTAGCCGCCGCAGCTGAAACGTATCTCGCCTACCTTTGGAGTGGCGCTGCGAATTAGCAGCACACCCGGGGCGGCAGGCCAAGGATGTAAGCCCTGCCTCAGCCCGAAACGACAATTCACTGCAATTTTGCGATTTTGCTTTAAGCCACTTTGGCTCAAGCGCGCCGGCCGGGGCCCCCTTAAGATGGAACCGGCGATCCTCACCCTCCAGGGGGTCGAGGTCGCCGGTGCCACGGACGGCTCGCACGTGAGCTTGTCCGTGGCCGCCTGGCTCCGGTTGGGAGGGCAGGTCGCCTTGGCGGGCTTTCCGGCGGTTGCGGCGGCACCTCCACCCACCCCCCGCTCCTCCTCCCCTTCCCGTCGCTCTCCTTCCCCCTCGCTCTCGCTCTCGGGGGATGGGCTCAAAGCCGAGACGCCCATGGACATCTAGAGGATCCAATGGATGCCAGTGCTTTGGGTCAAAAGGGCGGCAAGCCCAAGGGCAAGGGAAAGAAAGGTGGAAAGACGAATGGCACTGGTAATGGATCCACAGATGATAAGAAAGTTTGCTGCAACTGTCGGAAGACTGGACACATGAAAGCCGAATGCTATCCTCATCAACTCCGATGACGCCGCCGTCAGCTGTGAGGCAATGAACCACAAGAAACCCAAGATCGATTCGTGCCGGAGCCTCAGACAGTTCCATCAGCAGCCATCAGTTTCGGCATTCATCATCATCATCATCATCACCATTTCAACTTACCAAATTATCAACTTTTCAACTTGCCAGCTAATCATTTTACAATTTTACCACTTATAATCTTATCATTTTGTCATTTTGTCATCCGATCCTTTTATCATCAATTTCTTTCTCTCCATCATGACCATCATTACAACGCAACTTAACATATGGATACATATGGAAGCTTATTTGCCTGAAACCAAACGAGAATTCATTTTGAAAACCTAGCAAATTCTCTAATACATATTATTTTATATCTATTGTATATATAAATACATGTAGAGGGGGAGGGAGGGAGAGAGAGAGAGAGAGAGGGATTGCTTGATTGGATACATGGATTGGCTAATTGCACAGTTTTGGATTCATGACACGCACGCCCTTTGCCTTTTTCAGAAAACTGTTGAAATTCAGTGTCCAAAACATTTTTCAGCATTAATACGTTTGTGCAGGTTAGCGCAACCAAGATCCTGAGGAACAAACTTGAGGTTCCTTGGCAGCAGCGAACAACACTTCAACAATGAGAGGGTGCAAAATGAACGGTAAATGTGTATGTGTCAAAGATAACATGCGGGATCTTCAGCACAAAGTTGGATCTTAGCCAGAGCCCTCGGGGGGATGGGAGAAGTGGTGTGCTGTTTTGAGACTTGGCATAGCCATGTCTCTTTGATGGAACAAAACGGGGGATCCATATAATCTCTGTTCCCTAATACCAAACACCCTAAGCTGGAAAGGCATCCAGCAAAAATTCAAAAAGTCAAAAAGTGAAAAGTCAAAAAGTATACTTTTCGACTTTTCTACTTTTCTTCTTGCCTCTCACCTTTCGACTTTTTGGCTTTTCTTCTTCCCACTCGACTCTCAACGGTTTAAGTGTTGTACTTTTAGCTGCGCATGTTCATCTGAAAAGGCATCCGGCACAAAAAACAAAAAGTCAAAAAGTAAAAAGACAAAAAGTATACTTTTCGTCTTTTTGACTTTCTCTCTTCGTTCTCAACGGTTTGACTTTTGCACTTTTAATCGTGCATGTTCAGCTGAAAATGCCTCCGGAAAAAAAAACACAAAAAGTCAAAGTTGGGCTGAGCAATTTTGGTTCTTGATGCTGAGATGACACGTTGGAGTTGCATCCAAGAATCATACCCCAATCATTGACCTTATCTTTATTTTTTCTTTCGATTGGTGTGGATGGAGGCAAAAGGTCAGGTTTTTTGAAGTGGGGCATTTGGAAATTTGTCGAAAAGAGAGGCCCCAAGTCACCATGTTGCACGTGCCGTCAAGTCCAGGTCTTTACCATGAAACAAGAAGAGCCCTTGGGCGCGCAAGCTTGGCCGTGGTTGTTGGTGGTAGATTGTCCAGTACAGTGCCGAGACTGTTAATTAATGAACGTCGTGCAATAGATTTTTTTTACATACATGGGGATCAGTTTTTAAGCAGGGTGCTTGTCAACAGCGTGCTGCTTGATGTGAAGTCGCTTGGTCGTCATCGCTTTAAGACCGCAGTGATCCGTGGCTATGAGGACGAGGAGTCCAAACTTGTTTTTGGACCATGTATCTATCATGTAACCCAGAATACAAAGAAGGGAACCCAAAAACAACCGAAAGTGATTATGCACAGATTCTTCTGCATTTTTCATATTCGGATTTTACTTGCATTCGGATGAGAATGATACACAAACAGTCGAATAGGTTCGTCCATGATAAAGTGTGGTGCTCATGGTACATTTGATTTTGAATCAAAGCCAAGTATAGCAATCATGCATGGCTTCTGCTGCACTTGGTTTAAGTATTTGATTTTGTTTGCAATCCGTTGCAAAAGATAGACTGACACGTGCATGCGGCCCTGCACATGCATAACCTAATCTATGAAAAGCTGTAGTGCTCACGGTTGGCTTCACCGCGGCGCCCTGCCACTTGCCGAGCGCATGTGTCACCGTATTCGAAATTATTCAAAATTGAACATTGTTCTGTGATGGATTGAATGAATCCACCAAGCAAGTAGATTGTTTCAACTACCCGCCAAGCCTCCTTTTCTAAGGGTTTAACACATCGCTCGACCAACTTCTTGGTGAACTCCAAAGGGGTACTAGATCTTTGGCGTCAACTATTATATCTCTTATTCCTTGCGCAAAGCTCTTGGCTTTAGGCCCACATTTGAAGCTCAAACGGTGGATCACCACAGTGCGGGCCATTTTCGGCTTTGCAGACCCACAGTGTCCTGGGAAGAGGACATGGTACGGGGTCTCAGGCAAGACCCTAGGTCCTGGAAATCTCCGGATGTGCCGTTGGGGCATGGCGGTAGAGGACCGACCATGAAGGAGTTGGGCCCGTGAAGAAATTCACTTGTTCTGGCAGCGACCCTCTCTGGATGTTGTGCCAACATCGTTGGGAAAACGTGGCGCAGGCACGTCCATCTTATGGATGGCCGAGCCAAAAGCGCCCAGGTATTGAAAGCAATCAGGAAACAGGTCGAGGTGGAAACGGCTCATTAGATGCGGGCCCAGTACCTGAGGCAATCCCAGTCATCAATGCGGAGGAGGAGGCGTATAACCGCTTGCCTGACTGACGTTTGCGTCACAGGCAGTGCGTATGACTCTATAACACAGGTGTCGAACGCGAGGAGGAACTTGCTGATGTGTATACAACTGATGGCTTAGGACAGACTTTCTTTACGCACATGCAGGCGATGCATTTTTAAGTTCGACCCAGTGCACTTGGCGTAAATGCGCTGCAGTGCAGGAGGGGTGAACAGATGTACCTTTTCATCCTTTTTCACTGGGTCCATGCGTACATGTAAACACATGTAACGCCAACCTTGTTTGGCTCAAGGCAAAATAGTGAGCCGCATGCTTTCCCTTCAGTTTATATTGGGGAGAGAGAGGGAGAGAGAAGGATATATATATTATTATATATTCATATTTATTATATATATAGATGCGTGTATATATATATATATGCGTGGGTGTTTTATGTGCGTGTGTATGTACATGTATGTATATGACGTATATGTCAAGCATGCTTCAGTTATTTCATTCTGTTGCTGACAAATGACTACTCCTCAGAACTTGAACGTGTCCAAACGATGAATGTGAACATTGGGTTCCTATGCCCACTTTGTTTAGGTCCGCATTCGGTTGAAAGATGGATGAACAAACCGTAAGCACAAAGACGCATTGATTTTATGTTCAAAAGCAAGGGGTGAAGCACCAAACACAAGTTTCTCCTGTCTTTGTTGCAGTCATTTGCCACCTATCAGTGGTTAACTTCCCATTTTAGCAGGTTCAATCCCACTTTTGGCTGCTTAAATCTGAATTTTGGTTGCTTAAATCCCAACTTCGGCTGGTAAAATCTTAATCTTGGCTGGTTAAATCTCAATTTTGGCAGGTTGAATCACAATTTCGGCTGCTTATTTCAACCACTTCAAGAACCCCCTTTCAGGACCTCCTGGGTGACTTTGCGGTAAAAACCGTGGGAGAAGAAGCGACTTGGATGGGACTTGGATGCCACTTTTCTTTGATGGATGGGACCTTTACGGGGATCTAAGCCAAGGTTGTTCGGATGCTCGTATTCGTATGGGATGGTTCATGAGATGATTATGGGGGATGTAAAGGGGTCAAACCATCAGAAATTAGGGGTATAATAACTGTATAACTGAATGAAAGGAAATATCGTGGGAAACTTAACCCGGAAGGTAGTCTTCCCCCAACTCATGGCCAGGTCGAGATGTTGGTTGCATAGTTTGCAGGGATGAAACCACTAACCAGATGGGTTGTGACGGAACATGAATCCATGAGATTGAGATATTTGGTGAGCTGATGGTTCGTGCAGAACCACGAGGTTTTTCACGTTGGCGAGATCAGCAAAACGGGTCCCTGGAGACTGGACTTTAGTGGTTCATTTCTGGTTTTTACATCCCTGGGAGGATGAAGCCTGGTTTGCCGCAGCAGAGGCAAACCCAGCCGGAGACAATATTGCATATTGCTACATATTGCTACATATTGCTACATATTGCTACATATTGCTATTGCTATATATTATTTATTGCATACTGATCTATACTGTACACTCATGTTCCTGTGTTCGTATGAGGCTTTGAGGGAAGAGGCAGGTGAATACCTGGAGGTACTGGGGATATGGTTACTCATAGTTACTCTAGGTACCCTGTAATAGTTGATTCATTGACGTGCCTTCCCCCAGTCATATGGTAATAACAGGTTTTGACCCATCCCCACGTAAAGCTCCTTTGAACCCAATCCCTTGAACTGTTTGGTAAGTTCGACTGATGGTACACTCGAATACCCAGGTGAGGTCCAAAAACAGTGTGGCCAGTATGATTCCCACAAAGCAATAGAGTGGAATTGTCCCGGGGATTCCTCTTGTAGTTTACGTTTGCGAGCGGGATCATTTTTTTTACATATGGTTATTTTCAGCTACCAAAAGAAGTTGAGATGATCATCCCCAATGATTTCCAATTTCCCCACCCTAACATATTGGGAATTCCAATAAAATCAAATGATTATCAATTCCCAATATGTTTGGGATTTTTGGGGGGGATGGCTCAACCCCCAATCAGGACCTTCTGGGAAGCCTGGGCGCGCAACAAGAGGTGCTCGACCAGTGGGATGTTGCAACCTGGATTTACCAGCTGGTTATTTGTAGCTGCTATGAAAAAACGGCCGAGTTATAGATGATTTTTGATCATGATTGATATTTATTGATGATTTACCTATTTCAAATTGCATATACCAGTAAATATTACCAGCGGCTTGTTAATATTACCAGCGGGTACTGAGAATGATTGTTTTTTTCCCCATTGGCAAATCCGCAGTTTGGGGGTAAGTTGACTCGGAAGATTTTATGAATGGATTGGCCATTTGTTGCAAAATATCAAATAACAATCAGAGACCTGATCAATAGGTTACCTCAAATAAGTGGATAGAAACGGGACTTTCCTACATTGTGAATGGGCTCCCGACCCCCCAAAAGGTTTTGTGGTAACTCCCACAACAGGATCTGCTCGACCTTGATCTCGGCACTTCAGCACAAAAGGAGCCGGGGATCCACGGAAATCGCCATTGCTGTTGCTGCTGTTGTTGTGCGAAGTACCTCGCAATTTACATGGAAAATCTCCATTCTCCTGCCAAAACAATGAAAAACTCAAATGTTCTTGGTCAATCTCGCGGGAACGGATGTTGAATCCGCATGATGTGCACACATCTAAATCTCCATCAATCGGTTGGTATATAGCTGATATGAAATTATATATATATATATGTTTTTTATTTATTCAATATTTATATATATGAAATCAACTATCTTTGTGTCTTTTCGTTACTTTGGCTTCCATCAACCCCAAATTGCCCTTTGCGTGACCTCCTGCCTTTCGCAGGACCTCCCAGGCGGCAGCAAACCTACGCCACAGGAGTACCCGATATTTGTAGCACCATATTTGGGGCAGATGAACCCCACACATCCACGTTCCTGATCTGTTGGGGATGGATTTTTTCCAGGTATTTTTCCATTTGTTGGTAGCAATTTGTTGATCTTTGCTTGCCAAATTCAGAGGTATACATGGGTATACCCAATTGATATCCTTTTTCATGGCTGAAATTTGTTTTTGTTGTTAACCATTGAATTTGGGGGTCCCGATAATTTGTCATCCAACCTTGCTTAGTTGAACTTGGGTTAACACCGCAATTGCTGAGTTGAGATCCCGAGTTCGTTGTTGAATATCCCGATGTGTCTCGGCTATATTGAGTTATATCATTTGTTATCCTGTGTTTATCTCTTTATGTTTTATTTTCGTTGTTTTTCTTTCCCAATATAATTCATTATATATATATTGTTTTTTATACATTCATGTACCAATTCTGTCTATATGACCAACCAAATATACCGAAACTACATATAGATATATATATATATTGGTTTAATATTTAATGTCGAATAATGATCGGATGTTAAAATATAATGCTTCGATTAAGCCAAACTATTACTTGAATGGTGTCAGCATGTGTCAGATCTGAATATCAGGTTCCAGTGTAAAGTCAGTCATGTGAGTTCTATGGGAAAACCTGTGCGGAAAATGACAGGAGCCGGTGCTCACCCTGCTTTCGGACGATGAGGTGCGGCGAAATGGGCAATTGTTCATCCATTTTCCATAGCTATGTGACATTACCAGAGGGTATATACATAAATGTTACCTATATATATATGGGCAAGTGATGTTTTTGATCTTATTTGGTCTTGTTCGATATCATTTATGTCAATTTATGTGTTGTTTCCTTCCTGTCTCCCCATTTCACCCCCATTGTGCCAAAGGTTTGTTTACAGCGGAACATGATTTGGTAGCAGGATATCTACGGGTCGCCATGGAGAACATGAGGTCCGGCAAAATGGCAGGTTGTTTTAACAGATCTTTGTTTTCGAATGGCAAGTTTGTTCCACGCCAATCCCATATGAATCGCATTGTTGTTGACGATTTAACTATGATACTCCCAGGAAGATGTCCATTTCTTCTGATTTTTTCCCAACATGCCCCTCCCCATCTCATAGCTTACTCCTCGCAGGACCTCCTCCTTGACGGCAATGTCACCAGCCAGGCACCAGAGGACAGGATTCTGCCGGATTCTGGTGATGTGTAGTGGCAATATGAGTAGACAATTCTTTGTAAATGGCAGGATATGTCACCAACAAAATCGAGATTTATGGGTGCAGCCAAAAGGGGATTGATAGGGATATCATCGGGAGCTGGAAAAATCATCGAACTAAATGGAGGATTTCCAATTGCTACGTTTGATTGTCGGATTGTAATGTTCATTCATTTTCATTCTATGCTATTCAAAGAAGCCTAGTTAGTTACTGAGTAATGGGCGGTTAACTTGGCTTCTCAGATAGTGGTTTTTTAACGGGATAGCTAGGCTTTGCAATGGCATGTATAAAAGAGACAAGTACAAATGGTCAATCTGGACCTGATGGGATACATGACCAAGAATTTGATTGGAAATATTTCATGGTGGGTGCCAGCAATATTTGGGACATGTCATACGGAATATATAATAAATGGAGATGACTAAGCAACTTGGGGTTCTTTTACGTCGAAAACAATGAAACAAAAAAAACCTGTCTGAAAGCCAAGATATTTGAAGTATCTACTGGATCGTAATCATGGGTCAGTTCATCGACACTAGTGGGGTATACTGGCAATCATGGGTCAAAACCTTTGATTTTCCATTTGCATTGGGTGATGAACATCCGGCGGCTGTAGTTTGGGGGGATATGTTTCGTGAGGCAAAAATAGATGCAAACCTCTTCTTGTTTGTTTGATTTTCGAAATTCGAAACCTGGATGCCGTATGATGCCGTGAAGATGGGGTTTCTTGGGAATAATATACTGTATATATATATATTTATTTATTTATATTTATATTTATATTTATGTATACATATGTCTATGTATATATATATATATATACGGTATGCCCTTGGAATCCACAGGATGCCGAGTTTTGATTATATATACTTGTTAGTTGATTTTTTGTGTTTTTTTGGATGTTCTGTTAAGATTTCCACTGCAACCCCCAATGGCGAGCCTTGCTGGTGATATTCCAGTACATCCCAGTACCTTCGATTAAAGCCAGAACGATATCAAAGATTTCATGATGAAAATCCTCCCAAATCCTTTGATTGCATAGTTGGCTGGGCGGGGCGCCACTGCGGCCTTTTTGTTTTTTGAAGGCTTGGGCCATCAAGATCATCAAGATTCATCAAGCCTCTCCTTGTGAAATCATGTTGTCCCATGTTTTCCATGAAAAATCTGCCGACAGAGGATGGTGACCTCTTGTGAGAGCGCTACGCCAGCTGCACGAGCGGTTGGCGGCTTTACCAGCTGCCGGGATCATGGGAAAATCCCCTGCCAAACAGATTTTAAGAATGCTTATGGAAGTTGAAACCCACCATAAAACGGGGAACAGGATGGAAGCAATGGCATGAGATGCTGGCTTTTCGTAAGTTTCAAAATGTTCCTCAGGAGTGAAGCCACCAGCCGAATAGCAACCCACGTCGAAGTTTCGTCTCAGGGCACTCAAGAGCAAAGAGACGCAGAATGATGCAAAGTAGGAGGGTCATGGCAAGTTTGGAAACCCATCCGTTCCCAAGTTTGATACACAAACCAAACCTTTTGGCGTTAAAAACTGAGATTTGTTTTTCCTACATCGTTGGGCGCACACTTCTGCTGAAGTTATATAGTTGGCCTTGACCCAATCAATCCAGAAGTTTGCCAGTTTTGTTTCACCCCAGAAAGGTCTGGGGCAGCGACGGTCAGAGCATGCCCTGAACCTAATCGGTAGCACAGGAGGTAAAGAGACATTGGGACGTGGGATGGGTGGGAGCAACTTGCTGTGGATAGAAGTGTTCCATTCAAGATGGTTAATTTGGAATGATGTGAATACATAATGATGCATCAGGAGCCCTACCGCAACTAATCCTTCAGCTTGTTTTCGCAACATTGAATAGACAATATACATACATACATACATGCATACATGCATACATGCATACATGCATACATGCATACATGCATACACGCATACATGCATACATGCATACATGCATACAGGCATACAGGCATACAGGCATACAGGCATACAGGCATACAGGCATACAGGCATACAGGCATACAGGCATACAGGCATACATGCATACATGCATACATGCATACATGCATACAGGCATACAGGCATACAGGCATACAGGCATACAGGCATACAGGCATACAGGCATAGGCATGCAGGTATGAATGCATGCATGCATGTACATACACCCTCACACATACATACCTATGTACATGCATGCATGCATGCACCCATACATTCATACGTGTATGTGTATATATATATACATATATATATATATTTGATTACATGTTTATTTATAACATATGCATATCATATGTATATGCATATGTGTGTGTGCGTGTTGGTATGCATAGGTGACCCTTCCCACAGGAGGCGGTTCCAAGAGGAAGCAAAGTCTTCCATTGCCCGAAGGTAAAAACCCGGGCCTTACGGATGCCAGCCACCACCAGGTTCCACTTTTCAAAAGTTTCTCCATGATTCGCCGAGGACGGATCGAAGCGTGCCGACACTGAACAGCCCGCGGCCTAGACCGAAGCCATCGCTTTTTTCGTCGTTGAAGGATGGTACGGGGCTATCCATGACATGGCCATGGCCTTGTTATTTCAGATTACAGTACTCTCTGGTGGTGATTATGAATATTTAATAATAGTCAGTACGTCAGTACTACCCTCTGGTAAACTAACATAATTATTGAAAAATGCCGTTTATAGTGGATTTACCCATTAAAAATTGTTATTTTCCATACTTAAGTGGGTAGTGAATAATAATGATGGTGGTTTACCCTCCGTCATCAAACGTGGCACTTGAGAAAATCCTATAAGGTTTCTAGCTGTGAAAATCATCTATAAATCGGGGGGTTACCATCATGTTTGATTATCGGAGGGTAGTTTTTTTCTCTCAAATGCACGCTTATTCAATTCAGTGATTTAAAATGTCTGCCTAAAACACATCTCGCAACATGCTCAACCCCGTCTTGCTTTATCTCGTTATCCAAGTTATACTTATTCCAAGCCTCATTATATATTTTGATCCATAGTGTGCTAGTTGTAATTTTTTAATAGCATCCGGTTGATACTAATGCTTACACTAATTCTAAGGATATACAGATCAGATGGTGTCATGTCATCATATCGGTTTACAAAACGAATGTGTTTTGTGGGAGAATGGGGAAGAAAGCTAGAAATACTGGGGATGTAATAATATTACATACAAAACGATAAACATAGCTATATATTATATAATTAATAGAGAGTGGTATACAACTATAACATACTATAACGGTAGAACCAATGATCTGGAGGTTAGTCTAAATTCATAGGCGTGGGCCCCCGATTTATGGCAATTGATGGAAATCGCAACGCAATGATAACCCACCATGGTTTGGGGTCCACGTTTTGAGGTAGCACCCAATATAGTAATCTACTATATTTATGAATTGTAAATGTCAACGGCAAACCGAACGGGCCCATTGAATTGCCATGTTTCCAAACGGTTGGGCTCCTTGTACGGGCCCAATTCAAGATGATCATCATCATCATGAGCATGAGCATGAGCATGATGAGGATGACGTCGACGATGATGATGATTATTATATATTATTATGATTGTGGTATACTGTGGTGATCTTTGAATTTGATGTGTTTAAAATCTATTAATTAAAGTCCGGAACGGTCGGAACCGTCAGCTGAGAGCCTGAAATCCTCAAGAAAACTACTTCCTACTTCCCACTTCTTCCAGGATGTCCATGACAGAATTAGAATATTTATGGTGTTTTTTCTTAGACATATGCATATCTAATCATATATATATATATTTACATTATATATATATATATGATTTAGAAATGATCTAGATCCATCTACAGATCCGTTCAAAACCTTGGCTCCCAACGCTTCACCGGGTCCATCCCCGGAACCCAGGTCCCTCGCAGAAAAGTCTCCAACCCAGGTGGGGATTTACCATTGATCGGCGTGGTTAACCAAGACTATGTAGGTGTGGTTAATCATGGTTAATCATATATCAATATATATCAATTCACTTGGAAAATCAAGTGGTCAAATGATTCAAGAGAACTGGAGAGTTTAGATTTATAAGATGGGCTTTGATTGATGAACTATGAAATCATATAAAATGATGTGAAATCATAAGCCTAAGCAGATTATCAATATGACCTGATACAACAATTCCTAGTTGTGGATTCTTGTCCTCTCGGAGATAGGGATTCTCCAGGTTTGTTCCAAAAAAATCAATCACAACCAAATGTTCATGTTTGGGGCCGTTGGCCTATTGACGTGCTCAGACAACTTTCATCCCCAAATGGGCATCACCAGCGATGGAACAAAGCCCTGTAACCACCGCTCCATCGAACTATTTGGTCATGAATGTTCATCCCACATTTCATATATTTTCACATGGGAAAACCATAATAATCATGGGGTTTGATGGTGTGGTTTACTGTGTATATATATATTTTTTTTTTTCCCCACATCTTTGTGTGGGGTTCTTGTTTTTGATTCTGTATCCCGGGCTTCTCCTCCTCCTCCCGCCGCCTCCCTCACACATACAACAACAATTTCACACACACACAAACTTAACATACAATAATCTCACATACAATAACTTCACACACACAAACTTAACATACAATAATTTCACACACACAAACTTAACATACACATAATCTCACATACAATAACTTCACACACACAAACTTAACATACAATAATTTCACACACACAAACTTAACATACAATAATCTCACACACACAAACTTAACATACAATAATCTCACATACAGTAACTTCACACACACACAAACTTAACATACAACAATTTCACACACACAAACTTAACATACAATAATCTCACATACAATAACTTCACACACACAAACTTAACATACAATAATTTCACACACACAAACTTAACATACAACAATCTCACACACACAAACTTAACATACAATAATCTCACACACACACAAACTTAACATACAATAATATCACATACAATAATTATACACACACACAAACTTAACATACAATAATCTCACACACACAAACTTAACATACAATAATCTCACATACACACAAACACACACAAACTTAACATACCATAACTTCACACTCACAAACTTAACATACAATAATCTCACATACACAAACACACACACACACAAACACACACACACACAAACACACACACAACACAACAATACACACACTTGGTGACATCCACCTTGATTTCACGTGGCAGGCGTGGCACAACCTCACATCTACCGTCGTTTTGCGTGGCAGGCGTGGCACTCATGGTACTGTGTGGCGCGCTTGGTCCGGATTTGTCGCCTGGGGCGCCACGCCTCTTTGCGTGGCAGGCGTGGCACTTGGTGACATCCACCTTCGTTTCACGTGGCAGGCGTGGCACAAACTCACATCCACCGTCGTTTTGCGTGGCAGGCGTGGGACAGATGGCACTGGGTGGCGCCCTTGGGCCGGCTTGGGCGCCTGTGACGCCGCGGCACTTTGCGTGGCAGGCGTGGCACAACCTGACATCCACCTTCGTTTCACGTGGCAGGCGTGGCACAACCTGACATCCACCTTCGTTTTGCGTGGCAGGCGTGGGACAAATGGCACTGGGTGGCGCGCTTGGTCCGGATTTGTCGCCCGGGGCGCCGCGCCACTTTGCGTGGCAGGCGTGGCAGTTGGTGACATCCACCTTCGTTTCACGTGGCAGGCGTGGCACAAACTCACATCCACCGTCGTTTTGCGTGGCAGGCGTGGCACTCATGGTACTGTGTGGCGCGCTTGGTCCGGATTTGTCGCCCGGGGCGCCGCGCCACTTTGCGTGGCAGGCGTGGCACTTGGTGACATCCACCTTCGTTTCATGTGGCAGGCGTGGCACAAACTCACATCCACCGTCGTTTTGTGTGGCAGGCGTGGCACTCATGGTACTGTGTGGCGCGCTTGGTCCGGATTTGTCGCCCGGGGCGCCGCGTCACTTTGCGTGGCAGGCGTGGCACTTGGTGACATCCACCTTCGTTTCACGTGGCAGACGTGGCACAACCTGACATCCACCGTCGTTTTGCGTGGCAGGCGTGGCACTCATGGTACTGTGTGGCGCGCTTGGTCCGGATTTGTCGCCTGGGGCGCCGCGCCTCTTTGCGTGGCAGGCGTGGCACTTGCTGACATCCACCTTCGTTTCACGTGGAAAGCGTGGCACAAACTCACATCCACCTTCGTTTCGCTTGGCAGGCATGGTGCTTGGTGACATCATGTGACATCCACCTTCGTTTTGCGTGGCAGGCGTGCCACTTGGAGACATGCACCTTCCTTTTGTCACACACCATCTTTTACACACCATCTTTGACACACCATCTTTGACACACCATCTTTCACACCTCTTTGTCACACACCATCTCTCACACACCGTCACAGACTATCCGTCACACACCATCTTTCACACACCGACTTTGTCACACGCCATCTTTCACACACAACTTTGTCACACACCAACTTTGTCACACACCATCTTTCACACACCAACTTTGTCACACACCATCTTTCACACACCTCTTTGTCACACCCCACCTTTCATACACCATCTTTCACACATCACATTGTCACACACCATCTTTCACACACCATCTTTCACACACCACTTTGTCACATACCATCTTTGACACACCGCTTTGTCACACACCACTTTGTCACACAACACATTGTCACACACCATCTTTCACACATCACATTGTCACACACCATCTTTCACACACCACTTTGTCAAATACCATCTTTGACACACCGCTTTGTCACACACCACTTTGTCACACACCATCTTTCACACACCATCTTCCACACACCACTTTGTCACACGCCATCTTTCACACACCGTCACAGACCATCTTTTCACACCATCTTTCACACAACACTTTGTCTCGCACCATCTTTCACCACACCATCTTTAACACAACTTTGTCACACACCATCTTTCGCCAAACCATCTTTCACACACCACTTTGTCACACACCATCTTTCCCACACAACTTTGTCACACGCCCTCTTTCACACACAACTTTCGCACACACCATCTTTCACACACCACTTTGTCACACACACTATCTTTCTTAGTCACACACCAGCTTTCACATACAACTTTGTCACACACAACTTTGTTTTACTTCTCGATCCTCCACCACCTTCTTTGTCTTTCCTTCCTTCCCCGTCCCCGCTACAACATTTGGTGCTTATTATTCAAAGAAGTTGTCTTGTGGGGTTATCCGGTCCTTTAATTTTGTTGGGTGATACCCAAATAAGAATGCAGAGGCATTCTGGCCACTGGTCCTCCGCAATCGCAGCAGTTCCAAGCTGGAATTCCTGCGGTTCGCACCGAAATACATGCACCGCGCTCCTGTGCTCACCCGCTCACCCCATTTGCCCATAACCTCTACCCAATAACCAACCAGTCCCTTGGTGCGAGCACCCGAGGGCTGGCTTTCAGGTCTCAGAAATGGCTACAAGCAGCATGGTGGCTTATGAGCTTGGTGATGAAGCCCTCTACGAGGATGCATGGGGGCGCAAACATTCCACGTTCGTCTTCAGCGTGCGGCGTGACAGGATGTATCAGTTGTCCGCTGGCATGCGCGGGCATCCCGACAATGAAAACTGGATTCTCGAAAGCAGACTGCAGAAAATTTCCAGCTCGTTGTGGATGTGATGAATGGTGACGCTATTAGGTCCGCAATTTAAATTCATTAGAGAGCGCGCGCACATGACAAGCTGCCCCGAACAATCAAAAAAGATGTTGGACAAATGTCTCATTTTGCTGGTGGTACCCTTTTTCCCGTTGATATCACAGCTGTTGCTTGTCCTATCCACATTTGGTATGTTCCTGTTCTTCCTGGTGTTACTCCACGGTTGCCTTGGTGAATGCCCAGTTTTCGACCGGTTGAGATGCCTTGGAGATACGGACTGGGTGCTTCCCCTTACCAACTGATTGGCTGTTCAACTGACATATTCCCAAAAGAGAACGTTAGCATTGGTTACACCCAAGAGTTGCTGTTGGTTAATTCCCCCAGTCATCGAACAAATTCGAACAAATTGTAAATGGGAATCACCTGAATAACGGTGTATATATATATATACCGTGATTGTGAAATAAATCAACAACAAAGATCGAAACCTTCAAAAATATAGGACAGTTGGAAACCTGGAACATATGTGGGAAGCATCATCTATAACATCCTGGAAACGCAAAAAAATACTTAACAAGAATGGATTGGACATTCCATACCGCATCGGGACGGCCCTCACCAATCGTGGTATATCGTGGTGCGCGTTGGCCGCCTTGTCGCCAGATCGACCGCAGAGATCCAGCGCTTTCGCTCAGAGCCAGGCGTGACGTGCCATGGAAAATTGGGGTTTAACCTCTCCCAAGCGATCTAGACAAATTCCCTCCAAAATAGTCATTGAATCATTGAACTGTAGGGCAAAGACGTTTGCATTCTCTATTCATTGTATCTTGTTGATATGATTGTTCCGACCATTCAACCACTCTGATAAATTCATATTCAGTCGAGCTAGCCGGTTATGACCGGGTTTCCACCGGCTCACGACGGCGTGCTCCTACTCGAGCTGTGGCTGGACTCTGGGCATTTGAAGTTCGGTTGAAGGAGAGCCAGAGAAGGCCTTGCTCCTTGCAGGTGGACGTTTGGCCTGGCAGTGGTGTGCAAGCCGTGGGAGATGCTTGTGATTTCAGCTTGCCATCTGTGAAGGGATTGGCCTCTGATCATCGAAAAAACAGCCAGGTTGATTTGGGATTGTTCCCACTTTTCATATTTGATTAAGCATCAACTTTAGGGGTACAGTACCCAAATTTCATCAAATTTCAGTCACGCCCCAAATTGCGGACAGGAAATAGCCAGTGCAGAGGAAACCTTTGATGGATGGTTCAGTGCCTTTGTATGTTTGTATATATATATATACATATACAACATATTTATATATATAAGTATATGTATGATTATGATGATGATGACGATGATGACGATGATGATGATGACGATGACGATGACGATGATGATAATGACAATGTTCACATGTATCAATAAGTTTGCATATTTGTTTCTAATCAGCTAGACAGCTAGACGTATCTAAAACTCTAATTTTCTGCAGTGTGTCCAACAAGGAAATCAAATCGAAAGGAAATCAAATCCGGATACCTGGAAACCTGGAGATTATGGGGGACGATCATCTGTAACATTCTCCAAAACCTCTTCTATCTTTTTGGAGACCCCTTTTTTCCATGGTTGCCCAGGGAAGTTTTCTCAACCAACCAACGCTATTCATCGCTATTCATCCAACCAGCCGCAGGAATCCCACAGGAATGGGCTCGAGATGATGCTAATTGTTTGCTATTCCCGGTGCTTTTGCTCGTGTTGACGAAAACATACCCCCGCTATGCAAAACAATCTGTTGACAAATGTTGACAATTTCAGGTACGTTATTGGCAATTGGTCTTACGAGCCACTGACAATAGTATTGAATAAGATGGGTAAGTAATTGTAGGGTTCTTACTAAGAAACATATGGTAACATTAAGCTTCGTACATACGGCCCCCAAAAAGAATCAAGCTGATCTAGTCAAATATCTAGACAAGTGAATCAGCATGAAACAAGAAAAACAATACTCTCCGGAAATTCAACACAGCTATAGAAAATGGTTCATTTGGTTCGATGATATTCACCAATTAAAAATGGTGGTTTCCCATAGCGATGCTAGCAGCCGTCAGGGGGTGTCCTGCCACCTCCACGTTGCCGAGCGAAGCAGGTCGGGCAACACCAGGGTGTCATGAGCAGGGCTTGATCTTGCCATCAGATGGGTGGCTTTGAAACATGGGAAAACATTGGGAAAATGAATGTTATTATATAAGAAAAAAGTTAAGTAAACAGATATTAACAAACCATAGTTAAGACGTCTCAGCTGTCACCATCTTAAATCCAAGATTGGTGTTCAAAGTCCCAAGGTTTTTTGCATACAGAATCCCCAAATGTTCAGTGGTTGTAACCCCTGTGAAGGCTATAGGATGAAACCTACGAACAGTTGGGATTTGCAACGCTTTTTTTTGCACTGAACATGGTAATGTTTGGTGTGAAATTGGGATGCTCAATCTGGCTGTGTTGCAAGTCTATGTTTCATTTCCAAGTATGTTTGTTGCTGATAGTATTGCAGAGTTTTTAGGTTGGCTGCATCCATATAATCGAAATCAGTCTACGAATCTCCGATCCCTTTTATAAGCAATATATATAATGTGATATAGTAAAAACTGATATATCAACATGACATACCTTTTTTATGATATAGTGATAGTGTCATAAACAAGTTCTTTCTAAACGTCCCCCGTTTCATGGCCCCCCGTTAAGCTGGTCCCCCTTGGCCCATCCTTGACCCGTTGGCTGCTGAATTTCACCGGCGCCTCCAGGGAGAATCCGAGGTGGAGGCGGAGTGGATTGTGGTTAGTGTAACGGTTAGTGATTATGGTAATAAAGTGGTTAATAATACCAGAATAACACTAATCAAAGTCACCATAACAATAAGTTGGTCACTAAGTGCTTATTTATGTTTAGCGATTATGGTAATATGACTAAAGTGAACCATGTATACTGATTATTAGTTAGATGATTTATCATATCACCAATCATCATTAATCATCATGATCAATCACTTGATTTAATCAATCACCTAATATGGTAAGACCCAATATAAACTCAATAATAATGGGATATATGGTCACCCCAATAGTGGACCCACTAGTACTGGGATAGAGTGATTTTAGTAAACCCACAATATCAATATATATATATATGTATATCCCACTACTATCTCAATATGGTAAAGCCAATAGTAATGGTATATAGTGGATGATGATGGAATAATTTCCCGGAGAATTCAGGGATACTGGTGAAAATAAGCCAATGATAAGGGGATATAGTAGGATATTACTGGGATAACACCAATTAATGTGGGATAACTGCCGAATGTTTGGAGCAGCCAGCTCAGCTGCTGTGTGCACTTGTAAGCTCCTGGCACTTCCAGCAACGCGCCGTGCTGCCACCGGAGACGGAGCCGTTGCCGGGCGATCCAAGCATGGAGCGTGCTCCCACATTTTTCAGGAACAACTACCAGGAGATGCGACGTGTTTTCCTGGGTTTATGCAACAATGGTGGAGGCCGAATCCATTGTGGACATTTAATTTTTGTTTGTCACCATGTCCGGTTCAGGACATGCTTTTGGCTGCCCAATGTTTGGAGCAGCCAGCTCAGCTGCTGTGTGCACCTGCTCCTCCTGAAGAGGCCATTGCAGCAGCTTCTCCGCAAGGCGATCCAAGTGATCTCGACGCTCAGCTGCGAAAATCTATAGGAACCTCGCTGAGCCTGGCAGTGATGGAGTTGAGCAGAGGGTGAGCAGCCCGTCCAGATGGTTGCTGGATGCCTTGGTCCCGGTAGATGATCTCCTAATATTAATAACAACTAATACCATTAAACTACCCATATAAAACCCATAGGTTCACCCTATGAAACCAGGCTCCGGCCGTGTTCCTGGAGATCAGTGGCAGCAGCGCGAAGGTGCCGTTGCCGGGGTTCAAGGCTGGGAAAATCGTCGGAAAATGATCCTCCACGCCATTTCCTCCACAGAATGGCAGGAGTTGGGTCCCCTATACTGCTACCATCCTGTGGATTTTGTAGTAATTTGTGGGTTTTAGCTGGTTTTATCATGTTTATTTTGAAGGCATGATCATTTTTGGGCACCAAGACATGCCATTTTGTAACAAACAAAAAATGTAGAGGTTTTTAAGGGTATGATTTGGTGGTTAAAAAAATGTGAGTTAGTCATTGCCAAAGAAAAATCAGCTAGCCATTCTGTAGAGAACCCATCGTTTCAATACATGTACCATTTTGTAAGTGCATATTTGCGTTTGCAATGGTTGGCTCGGAAACACTTTAGGACATTTAGATTTCCCCGCCGTCCCAATATTCCCCCATGTTGGCCCTCGCGTGCTTGGTGCTCATCGCACACACGTCGTTGGCTGTGAGATGACACCGGAGAAAGTTTTCATTTGCAGGAGGATTGCCAGCACATTGTTGGCAAAAAAAATATCAACATGTTCATGCTGGAAAAGTTGCATGAAACAGATTCCTTCCACCTCCGACAAGGATGAGTGAAGATGGACTAGAGGATTAAAACTTTACAAAATGGTCCTGGGAAAAAGGCAGTTGATGCTGAGTTCTTGACAAGATAGATGCTCTACAAAATGGTTCTGGTATTTTTAATTTGTTTATAAGATCATGAATGCACTGGTTTGATCATTTTTGACAAAATTGTCAAAGTATTTGTGGATCAAAACAGGTGACAGGCATTACCATTTTGTAGAGCCATGGTTTATGGACATACCATTTTGTAGGATGGAGACTGTGTACCACAACCATTTTGTAGAGCAAAAGGCTAGATGGTCCACTGCAACCCCACCCAGGGAATGGCAACGGGGATGGAAAATGATGGGAACATATGGGAAAATATGGGAAAATACTGGGGAAATCATAGGAAAATATGATCGAAGGAAGCTTAGAAGTCAAACTTCCGACAATATGGACAGATGAAAAGCAGAGCAGGGAAGAGGCAGAGAGAAGAGAAAGATTAGAAGAAAGAAGAGTAAGAAGAAAGAAGATGCAGATGCGTGAAAAGGTAGGAAAGTCGCGAAACACTATGTTTTTCCGATGATTTGAGGCTCCGGAGGGTCAAAAAGTAGGCTCGCTAAAGCGGCGGGTGCGGAGCCAGCTGGCCAGATGAGAGATGAAAAATTGCACGCCGTTGTGGCGCGAAGCACATTTCCAAGTCAAAATGTACAAAACACCTCAGGATCGGACCACTTTTGGAAGTTGCGATGTCGAAAAATTGCACGTCGTTGTGGCGCGAAGCACATTTCCAAGTCAAAATGTACAAAACACACCATGGTCGGAGCACTTTTGGAAGTTGAGATGTCGAAAAAGTGCACGCCGTTGTGGCGCGAAGCACATTTCGAAGTCAAAATGTACAAAACACACCAGTCGGACCACTTTTGGAAGTTGAGATGTCGAAAAAGTGCACGCCGTTGTGGCGCGAAGCACATTTCCAAGTCAAAATGTACAAAACACACCATTCTCGGACCACTTTTGGAAGTTGAGATGTCGAAAAAGTGCACGCCGTTGTGGGGCGAAGCACATTTCGAAGTCAAAATGTAAAAACACTAGGGGTTCGGACCACTTTTGGAAGTTGCGATGTCGAAAAAGTGCACGCCGTTGTGGCGCGAAGCACATTTCGAAGTCAAAATGTACAAAACACACCATGGTCGGACCACTTTTGGAGGTTCAGATGTCGCTTCGCTTCACTACACTACATTGCACTACACTACACTCCACTACATTACACTACAGGACATTACACTACACTACACTCCAGTACACTACATTACACTACACTACACTCCGGTACACTCCACGACACTAAATTACACTACACCACACTACATTACACCACACTACATTACACTGAATGACACTGCACCACAGATAGACAGGTAGACAGACAGACAGACAGACAGATAGATAGATAGATAGAAAACTAGACAGCTAGATAGATAGATAGGTAGAGAGATAGATAGATAGACAAATAGCTAGAAAACTAGACAGCTAGATAGATAGGTAGGTAGATAGATAGATAGGGGGATAGATAGATAGACAGACAGATAGATAGGTAGACAGATAGATCAGTAGGTAGGTAGGTAGGTAGGTAGATAATCAGAGAAAGATAGAGAAACAGAGAGAAAAAAAGAGAGAGAGAGAGAGACAGTGAGAGAGAGAGAGAGAAAAAAAAAAGAGGACACCTCAAGCACCTTTCAGTCCATCAGTGGCTTCGCTCTGCCATCCGTGATTCACAACAACCAAACTTCCGCCACCGCCTTGCGCGGTACTACTGGTAGAATATGGGAAAATCATCTGCGAATGGAGGTTTATGGCTCGGAAAAATCATAGGAATGGATGGAAATGGATGGAAATGGGAGAAAATCGCGATAAAAATGGAGATTTCAATTTTTTATTTCTGGGAAAATGATCCTATGAATGGTGGATTGTCCAGCAAGCCACGGATGATGAAACTGGAGGGTAATTCACTGGATTTAATCAACAAAATGGGGATGTGACACTTCAAAAGGGGATTTGACCAATAAAGAACTAGATTTGGTCATGATAAGAAATCAACAAGATTTGCAATCTAATCAGCAAAGATGTCGATTTACCGGCAAAAATCACGGTTTTCCTAGCGAAACAGGTGTGATGTTCCTAGCCAAACAGGTGCCTTGTTCAACCAGAAGCTCTTCAATTATTTCGAGAGTGAGACAGGGGTCTTGCACAAAAACAAGCATTGCTCCTGAGTATCTGGGGAAACTGAGCAGCCATGGGTCCTAGCTTCATTGACATCTCCGTGTGTAGTACTTGGCTTGCCAGGGGCACCTCTGGAAGCGGCATCCCAGTTCCTGGTGTCAACCCATTGGGAAAAAGAAAGGTGATTTCTGAAATTGGGTTTACCGCATTGTTGCATTTGCTGAACCTCTTGAGCCGGTGCTGCACCCCACTACGGTATATCCAATAATAACCACTACCAACATAAAATGGTTGGCTACATCCACCCACTATATAACCATTTATAGATGATGACTTCCCATGATATCCAAATACAAAGCCATCCTGAACCGTTCTCAACCATTATATATTCACGTGTAGCAACCCATTTGGGGATCAAAACCCGTTGTATCATATGGCTGCCTGATCCATAAATCCCAGCCATTTGCCCTTTGGTAATTTAACATAGCTATGGCAGCCATGGCCCAGTTATAGACGATAAAAACCATGATTGACTGTCCTTAACGATCTTGATTTTCCATAGCTAGGAGATGATATTCCCTTTGTTAATAAACGGTACTGCGGTATTATTTAAATCACCACGAGCAAGTGTCTTCACCATTTCTCCAAATGAGAAACATTTAATTGCCAATGATAAAATCACTACACTCTATAGTACCATTACTATGATACATAACTTATGGCACTTTTACTGTCACCATTTAAATCTATGATGCATCGAAATTTAAGTACCATTGCCCATTGCTATTAAACAGTACAATCACTATGCCTATCTCTATAGTAACTTAGTAGCAAGTGTCTTAACCACCTCTTAGCTATGGAAAATCATGGTGTACCAGAACTATTAAATTAAATCCTTGTAGGACCATTATGTACCATTACTATTAAACAGTACCATAAAACCAACCCGTGCGACCACGAAAGGATCTCCCAGTGGCTCAGCGCCGGTTGGGACCCATGACTCTCAGGCGCTGACCCATGAAGGTTCAATGGGGTACCCCACTAGCATTGCTGGATGGTTTATAATGGAAAATCCTATTAAAATGGATGATGTAGGGCTACCCATATTTTAGGAAACCCCCAGATAGCGTTCAGTTACCTGATCGTGGCTGAATTCTATGGTTTATGGTAGATATAATTACTAATGGGGGTTGATGGATGGCTGCTATTATCACAATGGTAATTGACGGTAATCAATGCTGATCAAATGATATGCTTGGTGATTACTGGATATGGCAATGGTAATTAATGGTGATTGGTAGCGACTCATGGCATAATTAGCGAACCACGGGAGTGATTAGTCATCATGCATGGTGGGCTAGTGGGCGCTGATGGACATGAAATGGATGTTATCTAAAGGTGTATACCCAATATTTATATATAATCTTTCGTGAAATGGAAACTTTAGCAGGAAAAATGATGGATGGAATTAACATATGATTGGATTTTTGGGAAATGGACATTCATGGATATAAATGCAAATGGGTACGAATGGAAATCCACGGGATATTAATGATACTAAATGTACAACATTATGCGACCGTTCCTCGAAATAGTGAAACTGGGGCAAACCAAATGTTGGATATCGTGCTCCCCATGGCGATTTGTGAGTGCATCTCGTGATAATGCTTCCAGCGACGATGGGATTTTCATGACATTTCACGGCCACTTCTGACCAGAAATTATAGTTTTGCGATATCAAATCTCGCTCGGCTTAGTGAGGAAAACTGGTGGATGAATGGAAGATACTTGCGAGATTCTTGTGGCAAACCGAATGCAATAACCATTTGGTGATGGTTCATACCAGGGCTTAGCACATGAAACATGTTACATGGATGATGTGCAATTATCTTTCGAACCCTTTTTTCTAGAGCAATGTTCAACTTTCCAGGTGTATCAGCCAGATGGCCCAATGGAATCCCTTCCCCGTGATATATCCTAATCTCAAACACACCCAAACACAGGGACCCGAAAACGAATAAAGATAGTATTAAACCATGGCATACCGAGACGTATTTACTATCACCAGGACCTGATTCAGTAGAATAGACTCCAATAGACCTAGCTGAAATGTTCATTTGACAATACCAAACCACCATTTTTTTCCGATGTTCCCAGCATTTTCCCAGAATTTTCCCATTTAAATGCCAATTTCGCTGGGGATTTCCTTTCCGGAAACGACCCAAACGACCCATCCAGGAACCAGCCTTGGATCATTGGTCGGCGACATCAGAAGGAGTTCTTGTGCGCCAGCGGAGCGTTGGAGGGTTAAATGATGTTTAAATTGTTCATAATTCATGGTGAATGTAAAGGGGATTGATGGATTATTTCCGGGAATCGGAATATACCACAATTCATGGTGATGAAAAAAGGGATTAATAGGGACTGATGGAGAATGATTCACTTAAAGTGCTATATTTGTAGTGATTAATACAGTCATGAATGGCGATAAATTGGAGGTAGGCTTTGGTTATTTAAGAGGGTACTGTGGAAAATCATCTATTTTTGAGAGCTAGATCACTGACCGATAAATGATTATCAATGGCCCTTCTTCACAAATCACCAGAGTGTAGCCATAAATTGGGGAGAGGAAAACCCATCGCTTTCAGACACCATTTAGAGATGCAGTTGCCTCGGCAATCGTCAATTCCATCCCAGGGTTATCAACCGGTTCCTCGGGATGCAGAGAATGGTAGACATATATCATCCCACCTACACTGAATGATGGTTTGGAACATGGATGCTATTTCCCCATATATTGGGAATAATCATCCCAACTGACGAACTCATACTTTTCAGAGGGGTAGGTATACCACCAACCAGTATACAACTAAACATACGAAAATTGGATACCGATTTACATGTAGTCTCCGGAATAGAGACTTTAGCAGACAATCGACTTGCCAGATGTGATAGATCAAAGAGATTGGCCCAATGAGATCAAAGAGGGATGCAACTGCTTGCATTTATGTGTAGTACGCGAAGAAAAGATAGAAAAGTAATTTATCATTAATTTAGTATAGGTTTCCACCTTTGCATCTTTTTTGTGGTGGCTATACTGTAGCGGATGTGTTTCTGGCAACGATGACATTAAAGGATAAATTCGGATAATAAGTTGCAACCTCGGAAGGCTCACCTCCCAGCTCTTGCCCCATTTGATGGAACTAACTGTAGGGAAGGTGGGAACTTACAGAGATAACAGCTTTGGAGAACCACGTCCTGGTTGGCACCAGAGGGCAACAGTGACTGGAGTCCAAACCTGTATATTCCCCATGTATGTCATGGAGTGATGGTAAAGGATCAGATCAGGGGCACAGTCCTTCAGAAAAAACATTAGGAAAAAAAAACGTTGTTCAATGCAGCGCCACAATCGTCCAATGCCCAAGGTATCTCATGGAACCTGTCTAAATGGATTCAGAGAACCAGCACTTTCTGGTTCAGCCATGTTCACTTTATCAACCCCAATAACTTTGACCTGCGACGAGTCAGCATGTTAATGTGGGAAACTCAACCATTTGGGGATGGGTTTTACCATCCCAAAAAATGATGATGACCTGGGGATGGCTTTTGCAATTGGGTGTGCCAAATTACTGCCGGAAAAAGGTGCACGTCCCCACGGCTGTTGACCCATGTTGACCCCACCGGGACCAGGCAACGGACGGTGAAAGAAGAGAGCCTAGAGTTCATCAGCAGCGCGGAAGCTCAGCACCTGTTGGGACTTCCATGGGACCTTGCGACCTTGGTCCATCAGTGGTGTTCCTCATACTTCATCAATCGGATGGTAACTATGGAATGTGGTTAGCATCATGCTTTCCAAGTATATTCTCATAGTTTACCTTTACCATCCTTTACCAACAACTGAGCAACCAGATTTGGGGCTTGATAATAACGATGTTGTGGAAAAAAACATAAAAAACTTGGGCTCAATTCATTGATGATCCATGCTTTTGGGTCTCATCATCCAATCACTGGGGGAAAATGATGGAAACTTGCCCATCATCGTGCTTGGCACAGACGTTTTGTGATGCTTGTCAAGCAAAAATGTTAAGCACGACCTATTCATTGATATAATATGTATATATATATATATATTTATTTATGTGATATATCCATTTGAGAACTGGCCATGGACAGTGGAGGGTTTCAGGGATTGAAATAGGTAACTGGCAGTAACTGGGTGCACCATTGCCAGGTGAGAGAACCAAAGCTAGCGAGTCCCACCAGGGAACTGTGACACTGCAAAGAAAATAGATGCCAAGCAAACACCGGGTTTTCACCAAATATGTCCAGTGTTGCATTCCTTCCTTCAATTTATCTGTACGTATTTATATATATGTGTGTGTGTGTATCAATATCCATGAGGGGTACAAGCATCAAAGCTTTGTTTGTTTTCCATGAACGAAATACATAATCCAGGCTTCGATGTCCAGCATGACAGGAGACCATTTCGCGATCGCTTATCGAGAAGGAAGTTTCCTGTTGCTGGCCCTCTCCCAGTCACTTTGGCAGCACAGAAACGATGGAATTGTCCGTGCCATGTTGGTTTGTGGATTTTTTGACGTTTCAAGTCCGTCGTTTGAGGCCTACTTGACGAATCAAGTGTGTTCGGGGAGGATCCCCCACAACAGACTGGCACCAGGAATCGCATTTGGGTGGACCGTGGCAAAGTTGGAATCAGGAGAGGGGCTGCGGGATGGTGAACCTGGTGCAGTGGCATCCCAAACTAACCAGTTGGGAACTGTTGCAATTAAATCCTCCTCAAACTAACCAGTTGGGGGCAGAAAAAACCACAAATTCGGGATGGTTTATCATTCCAATCCAACAAGAGGGACCACCAAAATCCCAACATCCAGGCAAACCCAAGGCGTTGCTGCCCACTTGCTGCCAAAGTTGATTCAGAAACTTGACATGACCACTGATGAAGCCTTTACATGTTTGGGCTGCAACATCTGGGTTTGATCAAAATCATTCAAGCTATCTATGAATAGCATTTGTAGTACCATAGTTATGTTGATAGACTTTGGTGATTTTGGGGGTAAACATGGTTTATTGGGAGGAAAGCATCCACAACTACCAGCGGTTGATGTGACCAGGAGATGCCAGGGTCGAAGGAGCTAAAAGTTCAGTTGTGTTTCCTTTTGCGCTCCAAAGGTATGCAATTTCTGCAGTGGGAGGTGATAATCAAACCGACCATTTGGGAACGATTGAAATCCCACCCATAAAAACGGTGATGACTTGGGGCTGGTTTGTGGCATTGGCTTTACCACACGCACCATTCATATTCCATCAATTTGAGAATCATCCATCATCCTCCATTCATCATTGATAATCATTGATAATCACTAGCCATTAGCCATGAATCACCATCAAAACACCATTCAAAACGCCATTCAACACACCATCAAACACCATTTCAAACACCATGAATCACCATGAATCACCATTGAGGAGACACCGCCTTAGCTCAACACGCGAGGAGTCTCCAGCAGGATGAGATGATGCCCTTGCGACCCGGAGACCGAATTCTGTTGGGCACAGTTTGGGGTGCCCAGTGGGTTTTCCACGCGCAGTGATTGGCGCAGTGGATCGATTTCAAGGATTGAATGGAAATAGGGATATTGAAGTCATGTTTTTGGGGGATATGGATAATGACTGGACATTGAAAAATGGGTACAGTATAGTATATAAATTACTTAATATTATATATAATTGTTTGGTTTAATTGATTAAAGTAAAGAGGATAGAGATATGAGAGTGGCCTTGATGCGTTGGTAACCAAACATGCTGGCAGATTTATAGCGACTGCATGTTGGTTTGGAAAGATTGAAGAGTTTTCCATTTGACCAAAATGGTGATACAAGCCGATTTGACAACGGAATTGGAATAGTAATACATATAAATATACATGTGTGTGTGTGCGCGTGCGTGTTCTTAAAATATACATACATACATGCATGCATCCAGTCATCCATCCATCCATCTATCCATCCATACATACACTCTAGATATCTCTAGATCATGTTAGTAGAACATAATCATATGACCACTAGGTTTGGGCAGTTTTCTCTCACATACCCTGCATGTTCAACCCCCTACTCGGGCTAACTGGCTGATATTGCTAAATGATCTCTCCGGTAAATTGACATAGATATTGAAATTATGGAAAGCCCATTAGAAATCATCATGGCATGGTTCATCACTGCTTTTCATTGGTCTTCACTGATTATTGATATAATTTTCATTCATCTTCCACTAGTTATCACTGGTTTATCAATGTGACTGGGCTTTTATACACAGAGTAGTCACATGAGCAGTGTTCAAAATCCCTCTATCATTCCATTATACTGGTTGGTTTATAGGGATTCCTCTATTGGATTGTTATAATCCCCAATATATGAAGGGTAGTTTAATCCCCTATCATCAACCAACAGAAGTTTTGAACACTGCTCAGTTTATGATATGGGTTATTTCTTAAACATCAATGGCAATTTATGGTTATTATTACTATGGATATTAGTTCCATTATTATTGGCTCACATAAATACATGGATGATTGAACAATGATATTATTATTATTATCCAGGTAAACCATCTATAAATGGACCATTTTCCATGGCTATGTTGAATAACCAGAGGGTAATTTTCACTAGTTATAACTGTTTCATGGCTTGCCCACACCTAAATGATGCCAGGCCCCTGACGATGCCACCTCCACGAGGCACCGTGGAACGGAGAGCCGCGCCCTGGAAGACCACCAGGAGATTAGATTATATAAACATATATATTATAATATAATATATATGGGTATGTCTGAAAATGGGGTATACCCCCAATTATAGCCATTTAGTAGGGATAATGATCATTAACCATTGGGTGTAGGGGTAAACTATTTTCAGACAAACCCATATATAGATATATACCTAATCATATATACTATATATTTAAAACAGTATGTGTATATCGTGTATATATCCACCGTTGGAGTTGTCCACCTCAACGGGAGAATTATTTGCTGCGAGGCTGAAACGGCCAACTGGATTTTATCATGGCCAGCATGACCCATCCATCCCCTATAGAATGGCTTACATAATATCCAACCATCAGAAGAGTATCTTTGAGACTACCAACATTCTGATTCAAATTGGAGTTGTTCCAAAATAGAGCACGCTAACTTACTAACCCCCAAAAAGATGGGAACATGTTCAATTTATGTTCGCTTTCGTAGGATTCACCACGTCTTCCATGGAAATTTTATGGACATCCCAATGGCTGCAGGGATTCCAAAGCCCGACTCGATTGGCTCTTCCAGATTCAGGCCATGGCTGGCGGTCCTTTTGCTGTCCAAAAGGGTAGCTTTACTCACACGAAATGGGGTATTTAACCAGCAGCCGGGAAGATCAGCAGTATCCAAGAGGTAGAGAATAAATGAGAATAACACCAGAAAAAAAAAAGTGATCGTTGACTCATCCATGAGGATTGAATTGTCCAAAATGGAGACATCGCCAAGGATAAAAATTGGTTTGCTTCAAATTTGGGAAAATTCACGGGGCCCCACAATTTATGACAATTTCGAAGCGCGATTCGGGGCTTAGCTCCTCTGATGAGAATGGTTTCTTCATCTCATGGGAGCCGGTCCAGTAAGTAGTCCGATGTTGTCCAACTACAGCCAACTTAATTGTACTTCTAAGGTATTGCGTTGTACCATATTGTACCTCTACAGTTTGCTGAAATGTGTTACTTAAGAAATTTTACCAACTGGTTGGGGGTTGGAAGAAAACATGCCCCATCAGAAAAACAGTAACACAGCCTTCCGACAGCCAAGCATGTACTTTTACCCTTCCAAGGAGCAGAATTGACGAGCGACCAGCATGATTGAATAAATCATGGATAGGGTGCCATGCCTTAGATTTCCTAGAAATTAAATGAAATTAGCAATAATTAATAAATGGATTGAAGCTCGCACGAAAATAATTTTGTACGAAAAAAAATAAAAAATATATTATATTATATATATATATATATCGACATAAATTAAATAAATTTATATGTTTTATTAATATTATATTTTATCTATAAAATATATATTTATTTATAGAAATAAATATTATAATATATATTCTTTATATATTGAAATAATTATTAAATATTATAAATAATTATATATATTTATATTTAATTATAAAAATCCGAAAAAAACAAAAATATTTTAATAAATATAAAGAATTTGAAAATTTTAAAAAATATATTTAAATTTATTATATTAATTAATAATTATTTATATATATATTTTAAATTATAATATATAAATATTAAAATAAAAATATAATACAATGTTAGATTTTACATTCCCGTTTTAGCTTAAAGGTACGTGTCTCCCTTAAAAAAATGGTTTTTCCCTAGATCTAGTATATTATATGGTTGGGATTACATAGGTGTATATATATATATATGATGAAGCTTAAAGCTACCTTGTTGGCTCACTGCCTCCTTGCTAGCTCAAAGCTCAAAGCTACCTTGCTGGCTCAGTGCCACGTAGCTGGCTCAGCGCCTCGTAGCTGGCTTAGCGCCACGTAGCTGGCTCAATTTTTTTAGCGAAAAAAAAAAAAACGAAAAAAACTCGCAGAAATTGAGCCGGTTACATGCCCTTGAGCCGGCTCGCCAATGCTTCATGAACCCGGCCAATACATAGCTAATATTCGTTTTGATGCTCTTACATTCGTCCGCCAGCTTAACGTGACGTAGCTGGCTCAATTTCTGCGAGGTTTTTTTTTTTCCGCTAAAAAAATTGAGCTAGCTCGATGCCATTGAGCTAGCTCGATGCCCCTGAGCCAGCTACGTGGCATTGAGCGAGCTCGATGGTGCTGAGCTAGCTCGTTGCAGTTGAGCGAGCTCGCAGAAACTTCCCAATCTGTTAAATTACATTAAATTACCAGGTTTAATCCCCACTGATTACTTTAGTACTAGATATGGTACCTCTGAAAAAGCCCAAGATGACTATCAAAACATACCCCTGATGAAATTGAGCCAGCTACATGTTTTGAGCT